ACGTTTCTGTACAGAAAGTGACGGTAAAAAATAAATCAACGCAGCACAGTGCTACATCCGTGCGTGACGTCACCGCAAAAGAGGCCCCGCCCCCTTCATTAATATTCATGCCCGCGTGGAAATTTTTACTGACGCACAAGAAGGTCGCGCGCTCCACATGCCGCAACCCCTCCCCTCATTAATAATCATGAGCGGGTGACGTCACTCCACATGCCGCACCCCTCCCCTTATTAATAATCATGAGGGGGTGACGTCACTCCACATGCCGCACCCCTCCACAATAACCATGAGGGGGTGACGTCACTCCACATGCCGCACCCCTCCCCTCATTAATAATCATGAGCGGGCGACGTCACTCCACATGCCGCACCCCTCCCCTCATTAATAAACATGAGCCGGTGACGTCACTCCACATGCCGCACCCCTCCCCTCATTAATAATCATGAGCGGGTGACGTCACTCCACATGCCGCACCCCTCCCCTCATTAATAATCATGAGCGGGTGACGTCACTCCACATGCCGCACCCCTCCACAATAACCATGAGGGGGTGACGTCACTCCACGTGGTGCAACTCCCCCTCCCCCCCCCCCCCTCATTAATTATCATGAGCTGAACAATTTTTCTATTGAATATTTCAGATTCACTGCAACATTCACCCGTCCTAGAACGGGCACAAACGATAGTTCACATTAAAGCCCATAGCGGCTGCATAAGCAACAAGTGGACCACTCTCTCTTTGGCCGGTTGCTCCCCGCCTCACGGGTTGGCGACTTCGCTGCTGTGAATCGGAAGCGGCGTTTATTGTTTAGGGTCCACGCCTATTCACTCACCCAGCCACCCACTCACTCGTTCACCCACTCACTCACCCAGCCACCCACTCACCCAGCCACCCACTCACTCGTTCACCCACCCACTCACCCAGCCACCCACTCACCCAGCCACCCACTCACCCAGCCACCCACTCACCCAGCCACCCACTCACCCAGCCACCCACTCACTCGTTCACCCACTCACTCACCCAGCCACCCACTCACCCAGCCACCCACTCACCCAGCCACCCACTCACTCGTTCACCTACTCACTCACCCAGCCACCCACTCACTAATTCACCAATTCACTCGTTCGTTCGCCCACTCACTCGTTCACCCAGCCACTCACTCACTAATTCACTCACTCACCCAGCCACCCACTCACGAATTCACCAATTCACTCACTCACCCAGCCACCCACTCACCCAGCCACCCACTCACCCAGCCACCCACTCACTAATTCACCCACTGACTAATTCACTTACTCACCCATCCACCCACTCACTAATTCACTCACTCACCCATCCACCCACTCACTAATTCACCAATTCACTAATTCACTCACTCACCCAGCCACCCACTCACTCGTTCACTCACTCACCCAGCCACCCACTCACTAATTCACTCACTCACCCAGCCACCCACTCACTCGTTCACTCACTCACCCACTCACCCAGCCACCCACTCACTCATTCACTCACTCACCCACTCACCCAGCCACCCACTCACTCGTTCACTCACTCACCCACTCACCCAGCCACTCACTCACTAATTCACCAATTCACTCACTCACCCAGCCACCCACTCACTAATTCACTCACTCACCCACTCACCCAGCCACCCACTCACTCGTTCACTCACTCACCCACTCACCCAGCCACCCACTCACTCGTTCACTCACTCACCCACTCACCCAGCCACTCACTCACTAATTCACCAATTCACTCACTCACCCAGCCACCCACTCACTAATTCACTCACTCACCCACTCACCCAGCCACCCACTCACTCGTTCACTCACTCACCCACTCACCCAGCCACCCACTCACTCGTTCACTCACTCACCCACTCACCCAGCCACTCACTCACTAATTCACCAATTCACTCACTCACCCAGCCACCCACTCACTCGTTCACTCACTCACCCACTCACCCAGCCACCCACTCACTAATTCACCAATTCACTCACTCACCCAGCCACCCACTCACTCGTTCATTCACTCACCCACTCACCCAGCCACCCACTCACTAATACTCGCGCGACATTTTAAAGATGTTGTGCTCGCATTTGCCTTCCAATGTGTGGCCTTTAAACGTGTTTAAAAAAAATATTTGTTTAACTATTTGCGCGAATGTAACAATTTCCGAACGTTGATTATTCTTTAAACATAATTTATGGGAGCATTTCCGTAAAGTCAGATTTCCGTAAAGTCGGATTTCCGTAACCCGGGGACTGCCTGTCTTGTAAATATAATATGTACTGCAACCGAGTGGAATATTTAGATGTAAGCATGAGGTTCGATAGCGTGCTCTCCCTAACGCCAATCATAGCCTTTATTTATGTATTTATTTTTTATGGGAGAAATGTGCGTTTAATTTACGCCACTTTTGAGTTACGCGCCAATTTTCAGGGACGCAACCCCCGCTTAAAAAACGAGAGTTAGCCGGTATATAATTACATGTTTCTGGCCGTGTTGATTCGTTTGTTAAGTAGGGGGTTCTACACACCTGTCGACCCCTTATCAGTGCCCTGCCTCGTCACAGGCCAATTCAGACCTGATCGGGTGACCCCGTGCCCCGTTATAAATCTCAACGTTCAGCCCACAAAGTCCCATCACAAGGAAAGAAACACACGCGAACAAATAGGATCACGAAGTTCAGATCGCAACGCTGCTGCTGAAGTAGCCGCCTACTTCGGAAGTTTTAGTTTCTTGCTGTGGTTTTTCCCCACCTGATGATGGACGCTTGTGTTGTGCCCGAAACGTCGTGATTTATTTTATTTTTCTACCCACGTGACTTTACCGCCAAGAACCACACACAGAGTATATGGATTCCTGCGGTCACGAATGCTTCAAATCAATATTAAACAAGTAAGAATTAGGGGCCGTCCATAAATGACGTCACGCACCTAGGGGGGAGGGGGTGGGGGTCAGATATTTGTGACGATGTGTGACGAGGTTCGGGTGGGGGAGGTTGAGAAACGTGACGTCACATCAAATGCGCAACTTTAAATAAATACAAAATTTACGTTATTAGTTCTTTCGGTAAAGTCACGTAGAAGGGAAACAATAAAACAATAAAAAAATGAAACAATAAAATTATCACGACGTTTCATCCACAGTTTTTCACACCTGATGATGATTGCTTGTGTTGCAGTCGAAACGTCGTGAGAATTTTATAGTTTTATATTTTTTATCATTTTATTGTTTCCCTTCTACGTGACTTTACCGAAAGAACCAAGAATATGAATCCCTGCAGCGCAACATTAAATACGCACTACAATGACAATAGTTTAAAGCGATTTGAAGCATGTTTTATTTTAAAATGGAAATATTGTTTTGTGGGGGGGGAGGGGGGGCAGAGCATTGTGACGTCATATTTGAGGGGGGGGCCTGATTTTTTTGTGACGCCGTGTAACGAGAGGGGGGGGGTCAAAAATCGTCCAAAATCGCGTGACGTCATTTATGGACGGCCCCTTTTACACATTTTGTGCCCTATTGAAACGGCTGTACGCCTCATGGATCTGAACGCTCTCAATTCGCCCGTGGAAGAAGAATTCTGGGGTAAAACCGCGTGGGTTGACGCGGTGTGGGTCTGTCCAGTCGACAGCTCTGTCGAGTCGAGGGCCCCTTCCACCAGCAGTGCGATGAGCGAAGGAAGTTTCAGGGGCTGCGCCTTGACCTCCTCCCCACCCCACCCCCACAGTTTTTTTTTAACCCAAATTAAAATGCTTAAATTAGTTCCATAGTTTCATTTATTTGGTATAGCCCTGTGAGGCATTCGGCTTATTGAATCGGGTGCAATCGCAACAAACACAAATACATGAACAAGAAAAACATCTTAAAGTGATTATGTGTTGACTGTGCAAACAGAAAATCCAGGAAAAAAAAAATCAAAATATTCCTGAAAACAAAGCACCGTACACCAACGCTGTGTGCAAAAATCCCATTGGGATGCAAGTCAAACAACAACAACAACCACAAGACAACTAAGATTAAAGCCATCAGTCTAACCCCGTACTACAATAAACAAAAACATGGCCAAAACAAACAAAAACAGTTTTCGAAATCACCAAAATAAAAGCCATAAATGCAATGTAACAGTGATCGTAGGGACTGTGACCGATTTTTTTTTAACAATAAACTACATAAATAAATTATAACACCAAAATCTAGAGCCATATTTTATTAAGGCCACTGAATAGCAGTGGCAGCTAGGGCTGTACAACTCCTCTAGAGCAGTTTTGAGTGAAGATCTCATAGGTAGTGATTCAAGTTGCAGTTTATTGGCAATAGCATTCCAGACCCTGGGGGCATCAATAGCAAAGGCCCTTCCACCGGTTTTTGTACGGCAATATGGGATGTGAAGCTGGTAAATGAGCGAAGACTGAGGTCAAATTTGTTCTTTGAAACAGAGAGGAGATCCAGCAGCAGGTAGTCTGCGGATTTTTTTTGTAAGTATATCGTGAATAAATAAGATCTGGTGCACAAGCCGTCGAACATTAAGAGATGTTAAGTTTGACCCAATGTAGAGATCACAGTGGTGAGTCCTATATGGGCAGTTCAATGGAAATCTTAAGGCCGAGTGATTAGATGGAATCAAATTGAGTTTGTCAAAACGTGAATTAGTGATTCTGTGGACACAGTTTCCCTCACAAAACGATGCACGGACATCGCAATCGGACGTTAAAGTTTCAGCGAAGTCATATTATATTTAATTAATAAGTACAAATCTATCGTGCTTTACTGAATCGAAGTTTGACGGAGGGGGGGGAAACAAAAATCGATTCCCCGAAATAATAAATCGCATCGATTCCACAAAAACCACAATACAGTACGCGACACGGCGAATCGATCGGGCGTCATGCCTAATCGAAACTAATTCGATTCCTCACCACCCCGTCTTCCGTTCATCGCAACGTTACGCAGCACCCAGGAATCGCGGGCGTTAAGTCAATTTTGGTTTTAGATTCAGGAGAATCGAATCGGACGGAGGGAGGGGCGTGAAGAAGACGCCAGACCTCGGCAATGGCGGGAATGGCTCTGTCCTTGAGGAGCCGCTCGAGGTTAGCGCCGTCTCTCCTCGTCTTCCCCTGGCTCCCGGCGGCCCGACGAGGCGAAGGAGCGCAGGTAAGAGCCGATAGATGGATGGCGTCATCCGTTAAAAACAAAATACGCGCGCGTGTTGTGGTCTGGCGTCCCACGTGTGTTGTCGTGTGTGAAGTTTACCCACACGCATGTGGAGAAGGCCCCGCGCTCTCACAACAACGAGCGGAGCGCCGGGCGGATAAAACGCAGCGAGTTAGCACGGTTAGGGAGCACCTGGTGGTCCATCGGCCCAGTCATCTCAGTCGACCCATGGCACCTGCTGGGTCTGCCCCGTGACCTCCTGGTGCACCTAGCCTGGCACGGTAGTAGGCACAGGTGGTGGCATCGGCCATTCATCCCAGTCAGTTGACCCATGGCACCTGCTGGGTCTGCCCCGTGACCTGGTGCACCTAGCCTGGCACGGTAGTAGGCACAGGTGGTGGCATCGGCCATTCATCTCAGTCATTTGACCCATGGCACCTGCTGGGTCTGCCCCATGACCTCCTGGTGCACCTAGCCTGGCACTCGTTCCGTCCCCCTGGCTGCCGCTCCGCTAGATGATCCTTGGCTGTGTTGGGCGCCCGTCACTCGTGGCCGTGTGGACTGCTCGTTGAACTTTTTTCGCACTGAACGTAGGCAGTCTATGGGCAGTGTTGAGTCTATGGGCAGTGCTGAGTCTATGGGCAGTGCTGAGTCTATGGGCAGTGTTGAGTCTATGGGCAGTGTTGAGTCTGTGGGCAGTGTTGAGTCTGTGGGCAGTGTTGAGTCTGTGGGCAGTGTTGAGTCTGTGGGCAGTGTTGAGTCTATGGGCAGTGTTGAGTCTATGGGTAGTGTTGTTAAGCTATGGGCAGTGTTGAGTCTGTGGGGTGTGTTGAGTATATGGGTAGTGTTGAGTTTATGGGCAGTGTTGAGTCTATGGGCAGTGTTGAGTCTATGGGCAGTGTTGAGTCTATGGGCAGTGTTGTTAGGCTATGGGCAGTGTTGAGTCTATGGGCAGTGTTGAGTCTATGGGCAGTGTTGAGTCTATGGGCAGTGTTGAGTCTATGGGTAGTGTTGAGTCTATGGGCAGTGTTAGTCTATGGGCAGTGTTTAGTCTGTGGGCAGTGTTGAGTCTGTGGGCAGTGTTGAGTCTGTGGGCAGTGTTGAGTCTGTGGGCAGTGTTGAGTCTATGAGCAGTGTTGAGTCTGTGGGCAGTGTTGAGTCTATGGGTAGTGTTGAGTCTATGGGTAGTGTTGTTAGGCTATGGGCAGTGTTGAGTCTGGGCAGTGTTGAGTCTGTGGGCAGTGTTGAGTCTATGGGCAGTGTGTATGTACAGTATGTGTAACTACATTTGCACCGTGCTAATCTGAGGTGCGGGGAAACCCTCCCCCCCCCCAAGGTGTTGCGGAGGGCCGTGGCTCCGAGCACCGTGAGGCCCGCCTGGCCGGCCGCCCCTCCGCTGTGGAGGCCTCACTGTACGGCCGCGACGGAGGAGTCGACCCCGGCGGCCCCTGACCCCCTGGCCCACCTGCGGCAGAACCCCTGGGAGTATCTGGACAGCGAAGGTGATTGACCCTACCCCCCCCGAAGACAAAGACCCCCCCCCCCCCCCGCGTAGCCTTAACAGACTGTTGGGGCAGGAGCTGTTGGCGAGCACCTATCAAGGCCCACACGGCGCACGAGGGGGTGGGTGGCAAGCACCACGCCCGGCCGCCTTTGTCTCCCCAGGCCCAGGACCGGTTCAGATAATCGTGTTGGCCGTGAGCGGGAATCAAACTCGGGTGGACGGGTTCGTAGCGTGGCACGCTAACCACTACACCACCCCCCTCCCCCGTACCCCTTCCTCTCTCCACATTTATAATCGACACGCGTTGTGATTATTTAGCTTATTTGTCTGCTGCTATACACTTGCACGTGATGACAAGCCATTGACCGTTATATCATCACGCGAATATAACTTCCCTCGTCTTCTCTGGGGCTAAGCAGCCTGGTATATTGCAAAGGGTCGCGTTGCGATGCATGACTTGGGTCCTCGCGGCGACTGAACGGAGAGCACTGCCGGAGGAGGAGCAGAAGATTGATTGGGAAACAGCACGGATAATCGATCTGCGGTCGCAAAGCATTTTAAGTGTGCTGGGGATCATGCAGAGATAGCGAAAACTCGAAATAAAAGTGAACCGGATAAATGGTCGGAGGGAGGGGGACTAAGTTTAGGAACTTGTAGTTCATTGGGAAAAGAGCTTTATAGCTCATCGGATTCCTCCTGCAGTATAAATACCGATGCTAATATCGACCGCCCTCACCTGTCGGCCACCTCGTGTTTGTTGTCCTTTCACCGTCCCTGCGATTAGCGCGGTTGGCTACGTACGGTGCGAAATCAATTTTGAACGTACATACGAAACACCATCGAGGGTCGAACCAGTGCTGGATAACGATCGAGTGTGATGACGTCTCACCCTCCGCGTGTCCCCTAATCCACGTGTTCCTCTTTGCTGTCTCTCGGCGAAATCATCGTCGTGTTAGCAAGCAAAGAGCTACGCATTTTTAAAAGTTCTAGATTTAAAACTGCATGACGTACAAAGTCCGTTGAAGGGCGGCACCTTCCTCTTGCCGAGAGGAATCCTCAATATTGTTGTAACAACAATTTTGATTTTTTGAGGTGTGCTTCTAAGCTATTTTAAACGTTTTATTTTACCAGGTAAGGCCCATCGAGTTCCATAGCTCTATTTCAGAGGCGACCTGGCCACACGTAATGATAGCTCAACCAAGCGGCTGATCACGTCGATATTTACAGCAGCCAACTACTCTAAAACGCGCGACGTTGATTTTGCAATGTGCCAGGTAAATAAAGGACCCGGAGAAAAATCCACGCGGCCACGGGGAGAACATGCAGATCTCCAACGTGTGGAAATCAGGAAATGAACATAACCTGCTGGGTAAACGGCCAGAACTAGTGGGTGGGGAGGGGGTAAAGGTTTCAGTTTAGCGAGGTGAGTTTTCACGATTTTGCCCGGGGCGCACGCCTATCTCCGATCCAACTCTGCAGAGGCAGCGGCGAGGGTTGACGGACCGCACAAACGTGCGCGTGCGTGTGTGCAACTTCTTTGGCGCGGTGTGTGCTTCGACGAGGAGGTGGCCCCGAACCACGGCTCGCCAGGAGACTGTAGCGCAACGAACCTGGACTACACCTTTCCCTTTTTAATTCCTTTGTCAAGGGGTGCCTCTGCGGATGTGTATGCTTTAACTTTAACATAGCCATTTCTGTGACCAGTCACAAGCTAATCACTCAGCCATTTCAATGCTAAATTCTATGCTAATTCCTTTGTCAAGGCGCTCTGTTTCTTCTCACACAGCTTAATGGTCGCGATCTGAGCGTGGCTTTTTCACTCCAGCGCTGTCCTCCAGACAGTCTCGTCCCCTTCACCTGATGAAGGCCGCTTGTGTTGTGGCCGAAACGTCGTGAGAATATTATTGTGTTATTTTATTTTATCAATTTATTATTTTATTCTCATTCTACGTGGTGACTTTACCGAAAGAAGCAAAGGAGATGAATCCTTGCAGTCACGAAAGCTTTAAATCGAAATACACCTTTCCCGTTCCAACGTGGGATAGAGTGTTGCCCCCTTCGTACGCGGCGCTTTTTTTTTCCCCCCCGGTTGCCCCGGTTTCCCAGCGCATGCAACTGGGCAATAACAAGTTGAAATAATTAATCGTTATTATCGGCATCGTCACTAAACATCGATACTGCGACTCCTACACTACGCGGTATATTGAGGCACCCTGCATCGGGGGGACCCCACCCCCACTGTGGCAGCTGTCCCTGTGCGGCGCAAAGCAGACGCAGCACCGGCCGGCGAGCGGGCATTGCTCTGCCAGTAGGGGGGCAATGTTGCTTTGTCGCTTTTCCCAAATCGATCGAAGGGTCGGTCAGAACTTGGCGACAACAGAAAAAAAAACCCAGCACCCTTTTTGTCGGCAAGAGATGAAACCTACCCGGGCCTGAACCCAGGATCTCGGCAGCGCCGGCTCGGTGTCTCTGACCACCGAGCCACCTGGCCCCCGGAGCCGGTCACGGAAGTTCCACGTGGCCATGACAGGGCCCGGTCTGTCCGATGGCAAACCGTTGTTGACCTGTGCCTCTTTCTTCCGCAGAATATATCGAGCGCTATGGGGAGATTCCCATCTGGAAGGATTACAGACGGAACCACAAAGGTGGAATCCCTCCCCAGAAAACACGCAAGACCTGCATCGTAAGTACACTGGAGTTCTTCGCTCATTTTCAGAGGGGGGGCGTCATCAGTCGTGTGAGGGCCACCACACATTTGAAACCATTGGGGGTTTGACAGCAGCACGATGACGGGGGTGGGGGGGGAGAGGGGGTGTTATCAGATTTGTGTATTGTTAGGGGCCGCCAGTTGCCCACGGGCCTTGCAATGAAGAACATTGAAACACACCTTCATTAGCAGCAGCAGCAACAGCAGCAAAACCAGCATCGTGAAGCTAAACACATGCATATCATCACCATCGGCAGTGTGGCATAATCATCACCATCGGCAACATACGCTGGCTAACTATTATCAGCATCAGAAGCGTCCGCAGCCTAGGCATCATCATCATCAGCGGAAGCATAAATAGCTGCAGCGTAATCATTGTCAGCAGCGGTATCGGCATTACAGCGAAATCATTACCGTCATCGGCAGCAACAGGGGAGGGGTTCAGAGTGGCGTTGGTCACATGGAGGTCACGTGGTTTACGGGAGGCTTGAGCTTCATTTGGATGTACGGATAAGCAGTCAGATTTGCGTGCACGTGTTTGTTCCCGTGTTACAGAGAGGAAGTAACGTCTGTTCAAACCCGTGCCCGGCTTGCCGAGACTCAAAGATCATAATGGACTTCAAGGTAAGGGGCTGGTGGAGGTGTTCAGCAGGCATCACTCACAATTATACGGTTGATCGTCGATTGTAATTATGCGGCTGCATCCAACATCTGGCGGTCCAGGGCCGATCTGGCGAAACCGGCAAAGCTGCTGCAAAGGCTGTAACCAATGCAGCGATCGGCACCGTGGGCGTGACGAAAAAAGTAGCTTGGTTTCAGTGTCAAATATATACATTATACACTACATAGTAGCTATGCTTGATTTCAGTGTCAAATATTATCTACACTACATTATACACTACACAGTAGCTCTGCTTGATTTCAGTGTCAAATATATACACTACATTAAACACTACATAGTAGTTATGCTTGATTTCAGTGTTAAATATTGTACACAGTACATTATTCAGTACATAGTAGTTATGCTTGATTTCAGGGTCAAATATTTAATACGATTATCAAACACATGTTGTGTTGAAACAAGAGCGTAGTAATATGTACATCACCCCATGCAGAGTCTACGAGATTGGAGTGGTAAGTACGGTACATTAAATACATTAACTTTGTACAGTAAGATATTTCTGTTTTTCTTTGGATGTTTATGCCAATTTCATATAGTAAACAAATTTTAAACACAACAAAAAACATACACAACACCTAGAAACATAATGTTATTCAAGAATGTGCAAAAATATGCTATTTGAAATAATGATGATGTAATGATTATCCGGCGTTTACAAATATCTGGCGCCCCTTCCCCCCTGAAGCCTCTGGATAATCGATGATCTACTGTAATAACAAAAAAACAAGCTGACCAACAACATTACACTTAGCGAGCCTCTGCCAACTTTCCATCATCCACCTCATCGTGAATGCCCTCGGGACCGTTGCTGTGGTAGTTGTTGGTGTGGTGATTGTTGTTGTTGTTGGTGGTGTGGTTGTGATTTTTTTTTAGGTGCGATTGTGGTTGGCGTGATTGTTGTTGGCGTTATTGCAGTGGTGGTCGTCGTTGGTTTAGTGTTCGCGTGATGGTTATTCGATGTGTAAAGGAAAGTTAGAAAGATGAAGGTGCAGCCCTGAAAATTCTTCCTCGGCTCACTGCCGGAAGGTAACTCAGCTCTCAGGAGCTCTAGGGAGCCATTTGTCCCACTCTTTCATGTTGGCCAGACATCTGGGAAGAGATATATATGATTGGTTCTTTCGGTAAAGTCACGTAGAAATAATAAAAAATAAAATTATATTATATTACCTAATCAAGTAAAAAAAAAGATGTTTTGGAAGAGGTTTTCAATTGCCCACACTTTACCCCATCACACTCGGCCTGCCGAACGACCAGCTGTAGGCGTTCTCATTGACACCGCCAGGTAGACGGACAACAGGAGGCGAGGAGGAGGATTTCAGAAACTTCCACCGTCGCTTCAGCTGCCGTCTCAGGAGATGGAATTGAACCCTGCGACCTCTGGATTATAAGTCCAGCGTGCTGACCATTTAAGCGCGCGGGCCATAGCAGATAACTGGGTACCCCCTTGGGGTGGAACCGACACTTTTAGCCGTGTTCATTTATTCACACGGCTATTTAACAAAACACATTCGTGATTTGCTGGATTTTGGCCGCACGAACAAATTGGAGTAGCTGCAGTGATGCCTCCTCAGCTGCTACGGACGACAAGTTAGATGAATATCTGGTCTGCGCTCAGGCTAATTATAGTATGTCAGCATCCTTTAAATTGGATTTAGACACTATATATATACACACACATTGACATAAAATTTTGATTTAAAGCTTTCGTGACTGCAGGGATTCATATTCTTGGTTCTTTCGGTAAAGTCACTTAGAAGGGAAACAATAAAATAATAAAAATATAAAACAAAATTATCACGACGTTTCGACTGCAACACAAGCAAATCATCATCAGGTGTGAAAAGCACAACAACAAAATTTTTAAAAAGTTACGGTTTTTATTAACGTTAGCACCACGGAGAGCGATTTGACAGTTTAGTCAAATGGACGAGTCCATCTATGTTCGGAAAAGACATTGACATTGTTGTTATTCAATTAACACAGTGGTGCTGAACCTATACTGCTGCCTTACACGCCTTTGGTTCTCAATCGCAAAACACAATTACAATGTTTATAAACACATATAGGTTTGGTGAAACAAAGTAAGTTGTACTTACATGCCTATGCTTAATTAGTGGTTTCGTTGATTTACCTTCTAAAAAAAATCTGTCCATGTCTCGCTACCCCCAGAAAGGGCATCTCGCACCCCCAAGAGGTGGCGTGCACCCCAGGTTAAGAAGAACCACTTAATTAACACATCTTGTGGTGTCCTTACAGAATATTCGTCTTCTGCAGCAGTTTATTTGCCCGCACCAAGGCATTGTTTTTGACCCGTCGCTAACCGGTGAGTGAATTGATCACAATTAATAGATTGGCGTCAGTACCAAACGTACCGCATTATTAATTATTAATGCACTTCTGTTTCATGTAAATTTTATTCACAGGTCTCTGCCAAAGGCAGCATAAAAATCTACTGGCAGCGATTAAGAAAGCCCAAGACTACGGTACGTAATTGTATTATTTTCTTGCTGAACTGGAAAAAGTTGAGTGGCAGACTAGAGTGAGTGTGTGTGTGTGCATGTCCTGCACCCTCCGGTAGTGCACAGTGCCCGTTCGCACCACGTACCTTCATCCAGCAGTCGCAAAAGTGCTGCACGCTACCGTGGCATAGGGCGCAACGTGGCGTGCGGATGTTAATTACCTCGCCTGGTATACAGGAAGTCGTGGAATCGATCCCGGCCCTGACGCCTGTATACATGGGAGTCTGCGGTGTCTCTGTCCCCGTGGCCTCGTGGAATGTTCTCCGGGTCCTCCGGTTTTTCCCTCCACATTTAGAATCATGCATTTAGAGTATAGGTGACCTCATTGGGCTGTCATTTGTGGCCAGGTCCCTTCTGAAAAAGAGCTACGTGTTGCTCCATGGGGGCCTTACCTGGTAAAATAAAACAAAATAACCCATAAAAGTAAAATAACGTCGGTCGAAAACTTAAGGTGTCTCAAAAAAACAATTCCATCCGATCGGTGGCACGACAATAGGTAGGCAAAGTTGGTCAATCAGCTGCAAACTCATTTCTCTAGAACCACTTTTTGTGTTCAGTTTGTTGTCCTTGCCCCACACCTAAGATTAGCGTGGTTGGCTACGTACGGTGGTGCAAAAGAAGTTCAACAGACATACAGTACACACTACCCAGAGACTCAACACTGCCCATAGACTCAACACTACCCATAGACTCAACACTGCCCATAGACTCAACACTGCTCATAGACTCAACACTGCCCATAAACTCGACACTGCCCATAGACTCAACACTGCCCATAGACTCAACACTGCCCATAGACTCGACACTACCCATAGACTCGACACTGCCCATAGACTCAACACTGCCCATAGACTCAACACTGCCCATAGACTCAACACTACCCATAGACTCAACACTGCCCATAGACTCAACACTGCCCATACTCAACACTGCCCATAGACTCAACACTACCCATAGACTCAACACTGCCCATAGACTCAACACTGCCCATAGACTCAACACTGCCCATAGACTCAACACTACCCATAGATCAACCACTGGTGGAGCCAGTGGGGGGGGGGTGGGGTGGCACTTGCCCCCCCAATGATCCGATCGAAATCCCTAATTTCGTGTAGATTTGAAGCTTTCGTGACTGCAAGGATTCATACTCTTTGGTTTTATTCGGTAAAGTCACGTAGATAAAATAAAACAAAATAAAACAATTAACCTGTATATAATCCAAGGTCGTCTCTGAACTGTGCTCCTGACACAGATATTCTGCGTTGACTTTTCCACCTGAAGACGGAAGCTTGTGTTGCCTCCGAAACGTCGTGATTTAATTGTTTTATTTTGTTTTATTTTATCTACGTGACTTTACTGAATAAAACCAGAGTATGAATCCCTACTTTCGATCAGATCATTGGGGTTTATTAGTAATCAATCGGCATTTCGCGACCCCCACTGCCACTGTGTAAGCATACTATTACGTGTCAGGGACTCTATTAGATGATAGGACAATAGTCTGAGTCCACAATTGGCAATAAGTAACGGCAAAGCGGTTATAAGCGACTCACAGAATTGTGCGCAGTTGCGTCTACAGAGTCCACGACTTCCCTGAAGACATCATCTCCTTCAGCGAGCGCGATGCCGATCACTAACAACGCGGTTCGCAATTGGACCTTCGATCGCTGGCTGCGCCATCGCCGCACACGCGTCGAGTAACAAGCAAGGGACAACTCCTTACTTACTAACAACTCCTATCATCATTAGACCTCCTTTGCCAGTACCAAAATATAATAATAGGGTTTTTCCCCTTTGTTTCTGGCAACAAAACTGAAACTTTTTACAAGGATTCATGTTTACTGCATTAACCACAATACCTGAGGTCAAAATGCAAACAAAGAACATACTGTGATAATATATGCATTGTCCTTGAACCTGATTGGTCCACACCAAGGGACGGCTTTCTTTTGAGCCTCGACCCAATTGGTGCTCGACCAGATGACGCCAAAAGGTGTGGACCAATCAGGTTCAAGGACAATGCATATATTATCACAGTATGTTTTTTGTTTGCATTTTGACCTCAGGTATTGTGGTTAATGCAGTAACATGAATCCTTGTAAAAAGGTTTCAGTTTTGTTGCCAGAAACAAAGGGGAAAAACCTCTATTATAACTCCTATCATTTTTCATTGCTGGAGGGGTTGCCCTCCCCCCCCCCCCTCCCACCTGAAAATCCCGGATTCAACACTGCACCTCCAGTTAGCACGGTTGGCTACGTACGTTGATGCGGTTCAACACGCACACAAGCCCCCCCCCCCCTACCCCAATGTTCAGTGTTTTTGTTTTGTTCGTTTGACCGCGCTGTGCGCTCGCAGGCCTGCTGCTGATAGAGCTGCCGCTGCTCGCCGAGCCGGCGACGCCGGAGGACTTCACGAACGCGCACGGCGCCGTGTCGCTCACGCCCCCGCCGCCGCACTGTGCCGGCGGCTCTCCCGGCGACCCGTGGTACCCGTGGTACGCCTGGAGGCAGCCGCCCGCCCGCGATGTCGAGAAACTCCGCGGGCTCTACAAGGGATTCCTCAAGAAAGACCGACAATGACGGCGGCAAGGGTGATGGACGACGCTGATTACGATGACGATGACGATGACGACGACGCAGCGCTGACGTCGGAGGTTAGCGGCAAGCCGAAAACTAGAAGGGATACGGCAAATGTTGTAACGATGATGATGTTTTTCGATATGGTGCCTTTTTAGTCCGGGCTGGGGGGGGGGGGATTAATCTCGGAGCCCTTTGCACGCAATGCGCGACCGACTTACATCTCGTCTCAAATATTTTTAAAGGACACCCCCGGTGGCAGCTGTCCACGTGCAGCCAAGGTGATTCGGCACTTGTCCTGCGAGCGGGCATCAGTCTGCCGCCAGTAAGAGGGGGGGGAGGATCGATGATCGCTCTGTGTAATCCCAACTGAGTGATCATCAGGCAGAGGTTGGCACTGCCCTCTCAGCGTCACCTTGTCCTTTGTTGAACCAGGAGATTCAATAAAAACGATTGTGACTCGTGCAACTTTGCCTATTTGCAAGGGAGGGGGCGGGGGGGGGGGGGTGACCTATATTTTTTACTGTCATTTTACGTTTCTGACATTTGAAATCTAAAACTCATCTCTTTTTGCGTTGCGATAAACGAGCCTCAGCCGAGTCACTCCCGACAACTTGGCCCGGGACGCTCCCAAATTGGTTTGTTTTTTCTCCTTCCCGCTCGCAGCTGCAAAAGCCGAGCCGTGGCGCGTTCGTCGCGAGCGCGTTGAGCGAGCGGAGACGCACGTTGAGCGAGCGGAGACGCACGTTTCTCTGCCAGCTCGCTGTCCGAGGCGGCTGGCCACGCGCGCGCGCGGATGGCTCACCGCAGTGGCCGATATCATCGCACGTGGGAACACGTAGCAGCGGCCCGAATAAAAACGAAACAAAATTGACGTTGGATCTGTAGCGACGCCTGACACAGCGGTCTTCGACAAGCGGGAGTCTTTATTTCCCCCGAGGCACGAGACACGGCCTTCAATGATTCACTCCAAGCGTGTGGAGCTCTCGCGTTTCCCCCCACATTTATCCCTCGAGTCCATTTCCCGAAGGTTCCCTGAGCCACTTTCCCCTCCAGCCAATCACCTTCCCACTTTCTCTAACATTGTTATTTTTCATACTTTGATACTGGCAAAACGGTATCCCATGATGTAGCTGCTGCTCACCCCGAGCTATAAACGCTCTGACACGTGTGTGGCATTGTCCTTGTGCTGTTCGCCTTGTGGCTTTCTTCTCTGGTCTGACACTGGTGGTGAGACTGGGCCATAACGAAGGCTCTGGTGTAGGCCAATTCGTTTCATAGAATGTATATATATTATCAAAGCCATGTGTCTTTATTTTCTTTACCTACGTGACTTTACCTAAAGAACCAGAGTATGGATCCTTGCAGTCACGAAGACTTCAAATCTAGAATGAACCACCTCTACGGGCAGGGATTCCCTTTATCTGTTAGAGCTTTTAACAGACAACGGGACAAGCCCATTCCCAAACCTTTAACAACAGTTTGCCTTTCAGAGGCTGACCCCCTTTTTGCCTGATGACGACCGCTTGTGTTGCGACCGAAACGTGATTTAATTTTTGTTTAATATTTTATTTTCTTTACCTACGTGACTTTACCGAAAGAACGCGAGTATAAAGCCATGTTTGTTTGCATGTTCACCACAAGTACGTGTGGCTAATCTTTTTGGTGTTTGAGCATCTTAACGCCTGTTGTATTGCTACCAAGGGTAAAACCTATTTTTTATTTTTCATACTTTGCTACTGGCAAAAAGGTCCCATAATGCAATTATAGTTATTATTAACTCGACGCATGCGTCAGTAACGCCGTGTGTGTGTAGCCTTCAAAGGGAAAACTATAATAGATGACGTATCGGGCACTGGCCTTTCATTTGCTGAACAAGGGTTATTGCCTGAAACGTCACTTTTTGCGACCTCTATAGCACTGGAGCAATTGGGCCTAGCAACGAGTCAGCCGGGGCGGTCAGTAACTGTCAGCTTTGTATTTGTCGTTGTGTTCCAATTGGCAACAGCAGCATCACCCAAAATATGGTGGTCCAGAAGTCTTGTGACCGCTGTTTAATTCTATAAGACGTAATCTATATTTTTAAAGTAAGGTTTAGTTAAAACATAAATGAGTATGCGAGTGAGTGGGAGAGTGTTTGGGTGGATGAGTGGGCGAGAAGGTGAGTGAGTAGGAGGATGGGTGGATGAGTGAATGGGTGGGCGAGTGCGTGGGAGAGTGAGTGGGTGGGTAAGTGGTTGAGTGTTAAGTGGATGAGTGGAAAGAGTAGGTACCAGCAGTGTCAAGATCGGCCTCTGGTGGAGGCTCGTGAAGGACGCTGCTACTGGGCAGCTGGAGGCAGTCGCCCTCCAGAGGAGCGACGCTCAACAATGAGCGGAGCGCCGTGCGGCTCATATGCAGCAAGTTGGCACAGTGGGGGTACAGCTTGTGGTGCATCTACCGGTCATCTCAGCCATCCTATGGCACCTGCTGGGTCTGTCCCGAGACCTGCCAGCAGCGAGCCTTCGACACTTCACGTGGCCTCAAAGTGCACCTAGCCTGGCACAGGCGCCGTGGTGACGTCACCGTCACTGAGTGGCGAACGGCCGGGTATTGATGGATGAGTGGGAGAGTGGTTGAGTGTGTGAGTGGTTGAGTGTGCGAGTGGTTGAGTATGTATGTCCTCGAAAGATCTGGACAAAGTCCCATCGGTGGGCTCCTCTGGCAGTCAAGGCTGCGTTGGCTGGGTCATGTAGCCCGCATGCCCAGCCACCGCATGCCTAAACAGCGTTTGTTCGGCCGGATCAAGGGGGCTAAACGGGCGCGGCACGGGCTAGAGAAGAGATGGAGTGACGTGGTACAGGAGGACGTGGAGCTGAGTGGACTTGCCGATGACTGGTACCAGCGGTGTCAAGATCGGTCTCTGTGGAGGAGGCTCGTGAAAGACGCTACTGGGCAGTTGGAGGCAGTCGCCCTCCAACAACGGAGGGGGGAGGAGCGATGCTCACAACAACGAGCGGAGCGCCGGGTGGCTAAAGCACAACAGGTTGGCACAGTAGGGGGCACAGGTGGTGCATCAGCCAGTCATCTCAGTCGACCCGTGGCACCTGCTGGGTCTGCCCCGTGACCTGCCAGCGGTCGTTCCGACACCTCACGTGGCCTCAAGGTGCACATGGCCTGGCACAAGCGTCGTGATGACGTCACCGCCACTTAGTGGCGAATGGCGGTTGTTGTTGAGTGGTTGTGAGTGTGAGTGGTTGATTGAGTGGCTGAGTGTGTGAGGGGTTGTGTGAGTTGTTGAGTGGTTGTGTGAGTGAGTGGTTGAGTGTGTGAGTGGTGTGAGTGGTTGAGTGTGTGAGTGGTGTGAGTGGTTGAGTGTGTGAGTGGTTGAGTGTGTGAGTGGTTGTGTGTGTCTGGTTGAGTGTGTGGTTGAGTGAGTGGTTGAGTGTGTGTGAGTTGTTGAGTGAGTGGTTGTGTGTGTGGTTTGAGTGTGTGAGTGGTTGATTGTGTGAGTGAGTGATTGAGTGTGTGAGTGGTGTGTGTGTGGTTGAGTGGTTGTGTGTGTGAGTGGTTGTGTGTGTGAGTGGTTGTGTGGTTGAGTGTGTGGTTGAGTGTGTGTGAGGGGTTGTGTGTCTGGTTGAGTGTGTGGTTGAGTGTGTGGGTGGTTGAGTGTGTGGGTGGTTGTGTGAGTGAGTGGTTGAGTGTGTGAGTGGTTGAGTGTGTGAGTGGTTGTGTGTGTCTAGTTGAGTGTGTGGTTGAGTGAGTGTGTGTGAGTTGTGTGTGTGGTTTGAGTGTGTGAGTGGTTGAGTGTGTGAGTGGTTGAGTGTGTGTGTGTGGTTGTGTGTGTCTGGTTGAGTGTGTGGTTGAGTGTGTGAGTGGTTGAGTGTGTGGTTGAGTGTGTGAGTGGTTGAGTGTGTGTGTCTGGTTGAGTGTGTGGTTGAGTGTGTGGGTGGTTGAGTGAGTGGTTGTGTGTGTGTGGTTGAGTGTGTGTGGTTGAGTGTGTGAGTGAGTGTGTGTGGTTGAGTGTGAGTGGTTGTGTGTGAGTGGTTGAGTGAGTGTGAGTGAGTGGTTGAGTGTGTGTGAGTTGTTGAGTGGTTGTGTGTGTGGTTTGAGTGTGTGGGTGGTTGTGTGTCTGGTTGAGTGTGTGGTTAAGTGTGTGGGTGGTTGAGTGAGTGTGTGAGTGATTGAGTGTGAGTGTGGTTGAGTGTGTGTGTGTGGTTGAGTGTGTGAGTGTGTGGGTGGTTGAGTGAGTGTGTGAGTGGTTGTGTGTGGTTGAGTGAGTGTGTGGTTGAGTGTGTGGGTGGTTGAGTGTGTGAGTGATTGAGTGTGTGAGTGATTGAGTGTGAGTGGTTGTGTGAGTGTGTGTGGTTGTGTGTCTGGTTGAGTGAGTGTGTGGTTGAGTGTGTGGGTGGTTGAGTGTGTGAGTGGTTGAGTGTGTGAGTGGTTGTGTGTCTGGTTGAGTGTGTGTGTGGTTGAGTGTGTGGGTGGTTGAGTGTGTGGGTGGTTGCGTGAGTGGTTGAGTGTGTGTGTGGTTGAGTGTGTGAGTGGTTGAGTGTGTGTGTGAGTGGTTGTGTGGTTGAGTGTGTGTGTGTGGTTGAGTGTGTGAGTGGTTGTGTGGTTGAGTGTGTGGTTGGTTGAGTGTGTGAGTGGTTGAGTGTGTGGGTGGTTGAGTGTGTGAGTGGTTGTGTGGTTGAGTGTAATCGTGGACTACGTTCATTCATCCAGGCGAGAACATCGCCAGCAGCGCGTGCGCGCGCGGTGCTCGACCCCGGCATGGAATTAAATTCCGCCCTCAACGACGACCACCACCAGCACCACGTGGCATCGGCGGCGGCGGCCATGCTGAGTTGAGGCGTTTCACGACGTTGTCGTGTTGGCCGTAAAGCCCCCTCGCGCTTTGCGGCATCAGCTGACCGCTCAGCTGATTCCGGGATTGTAAATGTGACTTGGGCTGCTAGTCTCTCGCTGTCGCTCTGTCCCCGGGAACATTTTCGAACGCTTAGAAGCGATTTAATTACAATTCGCCGTGTTTAATTAAGCCGCTACCCTCCCCCGCCCCGCCCACCACCCATTGTTTAAAACCTTGGCAATTATCACGAAGGCTTTACAACAACTATTATTATTAAGGATTTACAACGAACAGCAGTCCTGTTTGACGTTGTTGGTGTTGTTGGACAATGTTTGGCGGCGGGGACGAGGATGACGGAGACTTCGTCACGGCACCAAGCGGGTAGGAGCCGCCTTGCAAACGCGACGACTCGATACGTGACACCTGTGCCTCTGGGTGTGTGGTGCTCGCTAATAGCCGCTTGCCCCTACAGTTTCTTAAGGCTACACGGGGGATCTTTGTCTTTGTGGGGAGCGGTGGCTGTAGTGGTTCGCGCTGCGCTAGGAACCCGGCATCCCAAGTTCGATTCCCGCTCGCGGCCAACCAACATCAGTGACGATTATCTGAGCCAGGTTCCGGGCCTCCCCTAGGTCGACTCAGCCTCAAATGAGTACCTGGTGCGGTTGTGTAGTAAGCATCACCACTGGGGGAGACAAAGGCGGCCGGGCGTGGGTTGTTGGCCACCCACCCCCTCGTGTGCCACAGTGCCGGTAGCCTTCATAGGCGCTGCTGCTACTCGCTACTAACTGCACTTGCCCCGACAGTCTGTTAGAGGCTACACGGGGGATTATTTGTATCCCCCTAGGTCGACTCAGCCTCAAATTCATACCCGGTGCTGTGTGTGAGCCTGGCTACTAGAGAGACAAAGGCGGTCGGGCCTGGAACTAGCCACTGTCTCGCCACACCACGCTTCCTCGTGTGAGCTGCTGTTAGTTTTTGTTCCCCATTTTTGCTTCTCCTAACTTCCACTCCGTCTCCTTAGATCCACTCCGTCTCTTTAGATCCACTCCGTCTCTTTAGATCCACTCCGTCTCTTTAGATCCACTCCGTCTCCTTAGATCCACTCCCTCTCCTTAGATCCACTCCGTCTCCTTAGATCCACCCCGTCTCCTTAGATCCACTCCGTCTCCTTAGATCCACTCCGTCTCTTTAGATCCACTCCGTCTCCTTAGATCCACTCCGTCTCCTTAGATCCACTCCGTCTCTGTAGATCCACTCCGTCTCCTTAGATCCACTCCGTCTCTTTAGATCCACTCCGTCTCTTTAGATCCACTCCGTCTCCTTAGATCCACTCCGTCTCCGTAGATCCACTCCGTCTCCGTAGATCCACTCCGTCTCTTTAGATCCACTCCGTCTCCTTAGATCCACTCCGTCTGCTTAGATCCACTCCGTCTCTGTAGATCCACTCCGTCTCCTTAGATCCACTCCGTCTGCTTAGATCCACTCCGTCTCTGTAGATCCACTCCGTCTCCTTAGATCCACTCAGTCTCTGTAGATCCACTCAGTCTCTGTAGATCCACTCCGTCTCCTTAGATCCACTCCGTCTCTTTAGATCCACTCCGTCTCCTTAGATCTACTCCGTCTCTTTAGATCCACTCCGTCTCCTTAGATCCACTCCGTCTTCTGAGATCGACTCCGTCTACTTAGATCCACTCCGTCTCCCTAGATCCACTCCATCTACTTAGATCCACTCCGTCTCTTTAGATCCACTCCGTCTCCTTACAGCCACTCCGTCTCCTTAAATCCACTCCGTCTCCTTACATCCACTCCGTCTCCTTAGATCCACTCCGTCTACTTAGATCCACTCCGTCTTTTTCGAGATGACGCGGCAGAGACGCGAACGATGTTGACGTGCAGATTGCACAGAGCTCGAATGAGTGAGTGGAGTTTGTGTGATCTCCCCCTGTTCTACAGAGTGAGTGGAGTTTGTGTGATCTCCCCCTGTTCTACAGAGTGAGTGAGTGGAGTTTGTATGATCTCCCCCTGTTCTACAGAGTGAGTGAGTGGAGTTTGTGTGATCTCCCCATGTTCTACAGAGTGAGTGAGTGGAGTTTGTGTGATCTCCCCCTGTTCTACAGAGTGAGTGGAGTTTGTGTGATCTCCCCCTGTTCTACAGAGTGAGTGGGGTTTGTATGTTCTCCTGTTCTACAGAGTGAGTGGAGTTTGTATGATCTCCCCCTGTTCTACCGAGAGTAAGTGGAGTTTGTATGATCTCCTCCTGTTCTACAGAGTGAGAGTGAGTGAGTGGAGTTTGTGTGATCTCCCCCTGTTCTACAGAGTGAGTGGAGTTTGTATGATCTCCCCCTGTTCTACAGAGTGAGTGAGTGGAGTCTGCAGTCTGTATGATCTCCCCCTGTTCTACAGAGTGAGTGGAGTTTGTATGATCTCCCCCTGTTCTACAGAGTGAGTGAGTGGAGTTTGTGTGATCTCCCCCTGTTCTACAGAGTGAGTGGAGTCTGTATGATCTCCCCCTGTTCTGCAGAGTGAGAGTGAGTAAGTGGAGTTTGTGTGATCTCTCCCTGTTCTACAGAGTGAGTGAGTGGAGTCTGTATGATCTCCCCCTGTTCTACAGAGTGAGTGAGTGGAGTTTGTATGATCTCCCCCTGTTCTACAGAGTGAGTGGAGTTTGTATGATCTCCCCCTGTTCTAAAGAGTGAGTAAGTGGAGTTTGTATGATCTCCCCCTGTTCTACAGAGTGAGTGAGTGAGTGGAGTTTGTATGATCTCCCCCTGTTCTACAGAGTGAGAGTGAGTAGAGTCTGTATGATCTCCCCTTGTTCCACAGAGTAAGTGAGTGGAGTTTGTATGATCTCCCCCTGTTCTACACGGTGAGAGTGAGTGGAGTCTGTATGATCTCCCCCTGTTCTACAGAGTGAGAGTGAGTGGCGTCTGTATGATCTCCCCTTGTTCCACAGAGTAAGTGAGTGGAGTTCGTATGATCTCCCCCTGTTCTACAGAGTGAGTGGAGTCTGTATGATCTCCCCCTGTTTTAGAGAGTGTGAGTGAGTGAGTGGAGTTTGTATGATCTCCCCCTGTTTTAGAGAGTGTGAGTGAGTGAGTGGAGTTTGTATGATCTCCCCCTGTTCTTCAGAGTGTGAGTGAGTGAGTGGAGTCTGTATGATCTCCCCCTGTTCTACAGAGTGATTGAGTGGAGTCTGTATGATCTCCCCCTGTTCTAGAGAGTGTGAGTGAGTGGAGTCTGTATGATCTCCCCCTGTTCTGGAGAGTGTAAGTGAGTGAGTAAGTGGAGTCTGTATGATCTCCCCCTGTTCTGGAGAGTGTGAGTGAGTGAGTGGAGTCTGTATGATCTCCCCCTGTTCTACAGAGTGATTGAGTGGAGTCTGTATGATCTCCCCCTGTTCTGGAGAGTGAGAGTGAGTGAGTGGAGTCTGTATGATCTCCCCCTGTACTGGAGAGTGTGAGTGAGTGAGTGGAGTCTGTATGATCTCCCCCTGTTCTACAGAGTGTGTGAGTGAGTGGAGTCTGTATGATCTCCGCCTGTACTGGAGAGTGTGAGTGAGTGAGTAAGTGGAGTCTGTATGATATCCGCCTGTTCTACAGAGTGTGAGTGAGTGAGTGGAGTCTGTATGATCTCCCCCTGTTCTAGAGAGTGAGTAAGTGGAGTCTGTATCATCTCCCCTTGTTCCACATGGGTATACCCCGGGTCCCATCGTTCATCGTGCAACTGCTTTTGTCGACAATATCCCAACACGACAAAATGTCCTCGCACATTACTCAATCGGGGATCACACAGCAGCAGCAATCGGCATCGCCTCGATCCGACGATGACACCTTAACAGGATGCTTGTCAAACGACTGCCTCGATGTCCCATCGTGTGTCTTGACAGATCATGCTTGCAATGGTTAACGAAGTCCGGTTAATGAGTAGCTTGGTGTCCTGCGGCAAGGACTTTTTGTCGCAAGCCTTTGTTAATTCAACCGCTAAGTTCCCGGTTAGTTTGGCGGTATTGTGGTGGTGCGTATGGTTAGTGCCGGGGCTAGGAGGGGTCTAAGGGTCATTCCAAGGGTTTTTTGTGGCAAAAGTGCGCCATGGTGGCGAGATGTTAACTACCTCGCCTGGTGTACAGGAGGTTTTCAGTTTCATTTATTTGGTATAGCCCTGTGAGCCATTCGGCTCTGCAATCGGGTGCAACCGCAACAAACAAAGAACACGAGCAACAGGAAAAAATCCGTGAAAAAAAACAGCGAAAGTCTTCCAGAAAAAGCACTAAATATCAATGCTGTGTGCAAAAATCCCGGTGGTCGTGGGTTCGATCCCGACCCTGACGCCTGCTGCTGCTGCTGTATATTTGGAGTTTGCGTGTCTCTCTCTCTCTCATCATCACGGTGGCTAGGAGATGTTAACTACCTCGCCAGGTGTACAGGAGGTCGTGGGTTTGATCCCGACCCTGACGCCTGCTGCTGTATATTTGGAGTTGGCAGTGTCTCTCTCTCTCATCATCATCACGGTGGCTATGAGATGTTAAATACCTCGCCTGGTGTACAGGAGGTCGTGGGTTCGATCCTGACCCTGACGCCTGCTGTTGCTGTATATTTGGAGTTTGCGTGTCTCTCTCTCATCATCATCACGGTGGCTAGGAGATGTTAACTACCTCGCCTGGTGTACAGGAGGTCGTGGGTTCGATCCTGACCCTGACGCCTGCTGCTGTATATTTGGAGTTTGCAGTGTCTCTCTCTCATCATCATCACGGTGGCTAGGAGATGTTAACTACCTCGCCTGGTGTACAGGAGGTCGTGGGTTCAATCCCGACCCTGATACCTGCTGCTGTATATTTGGAGTTGGCAGTGTCTCTCTCTCTCTCTCATCATCACGGTGGCTAGGAGATGTTAACTACCTCGCCAGGTATACAGGAGGTCGTGGGTTCGATCCTGACCCTGACGCCTGCTGCTGTATATTTGGAGTTTGCGTGTCTCTCTCTCTCTCATCATCATCATGGTGGCTAGGAGATGTTAACTACCTCGCCTGGTGTACAGGAGGTCGTGAGTTCGATCCCGACCCTGACGCCTGCTGCTGCTGCTGTATATTTGGAGTTTGCGTGTCTCTCTCTCACCTTTATCACGGTGGCTAGGAGATGTTAACTACCTCGCCTGGTATACAGGAGGTCGTGGGTTCGATCCCGATCCTGATGCCTGTTGCTGTATATTTGGAGTTTGCGTGTCTCTCTCTCTCATCATCATCACGGTGGCTAGGAGATGTTAACTACCTCGCCTGGTGTACAGGAGGTCGTGGGTTCGATCCCGACCCTGACGCCTGCTGCTGTATATTTGGAGTTGGCGGTGTCTCTCTCTCATCATCATCACGGTGGCTAGGAGATGTTAACTACCTCGCCAGGTTTACAGGAGGTCGTGGGTTCGATCCCGACCCTGACGCCTGCTGCTGTATATTTGGAGTTGGCGTGTCTCTCTCTTCCCGTGGTCGCGTGGATTTTTCTCCGGGTCCTCCGGTTTTTTATCCTCTACATTTAGAATCAACGTCACTACGCGTTTAAAGTATTTGGCTACTGCTGTACATTTCCACGTGATGATGATGATGATAAGCCACTTGTGATAGCCAGGTCGCTTCTCAAACTTAGCTACTTAGCTCAGTGATGGATTCTTACACCGGGTAAAATAAAAAAAATTGTTCAGTTTTAGTGTAAAGATCCGGTTTTCGGGTCGTGTTATAAGGGCGTTGAAGTCTCCTGCCGAGCAACTTTGCAGTCGACAGATAGACCCCCCCACACCCCCTCTCCCCACGTCGCAAGGCAGTGCTACCTGTGGTTGCCTGTAGCTTTGTTGCTTCTCGCTGCTGTGAGCGTTCAGTTTCCCTCCTTACGTGTACACGTGTGTACCCCTACGTCGTCGGAACGGGATGGGAAGGAATAACATGACGTGCGTACACGCAGCAGCAGCAGCAGTAGTAGCAGCAGTAGTAGCAGCAGTAGCAGCAGTAGCAGCAGCAGTAGCAGCAGCAGCAGTAGTAGCAGCAGTAGTAGCAGCAGCAGTAGTAGTAGCAGCAGCAGTAGTAGCAGCAGCAGCAGCAGTAGTAGCAGCAGTAGTAGCAGCAGCAGTAGTAGCAGCAGCAGTAGTAGCAGCAGCAGTAGTAGTAGCAGTGGTAGCAGTAGCAGCAGTAGCAGCAGCAGTAGTAGCAGCAGCGGCGGCAGCAGCAGCGGCGGCAGCAGCAGCGGCGGCAGCAGCAGCGGCAGCAGCAGCAGCGGCAGCAGCAGTAGCAGCAGCAGCAGTAGTAGCAGCAGCAGTAGCAGCAGCAGTAGCAGCAGCAGTAGCAGCAGCAGTAGCAGCGGCAGCAGTAGCAGCAGAAACAGTAGCAGCAGCAGCGGTAGTAGCAGCAGCGGCAGTAGCAGCAGCGGAGGCAGTAGTAGTAGCAGCAGCAGTAGTAGCAGCAGCAGTAGCAGCAGCAGTAGTAGCAGCAGCAGCAGTAGCAGCAGCAGCAGTAGTAGCAGCTGCAGCAGTAGCAGCAGCAGCAGTAGTAGCATCAGCAGCAGTAGAAGCAGTAGCGGCAGCAGCAGTAGCAGCAGCAGCAGTAGCAGCAGCAGTAGCAGCAGCAGCAGTAGAAGCAGCAGCAGTAGTAGCAGTAGCAGCAGCAGCGGCAGCAGCAGCGGCAGCAGCAGCAGCAGTAGTAGCAGCAGCAGCAGTAGTAGCAGTAGCAGCAGCGGCAGCAGCAGCGGCAGCAGTAGTAGCAGCAGCAGTAGCAGCAGCGGCAGCAGTAGTAGTAGCAGCAGCAGTAGCATCAGCAGCAGTAGAAGCAGCAGCAGTAGTAGCAGTAGCAGCAGCAGCGGCAGTAGCGGCAGTAGCAGCAGCAGTAGTAGCAGCAGCAGCAGTAGCAGCAGCAGTAGTAGCAGCAGCAGTAGTAGCGGCAGCAACAGTAGTAGTAGTAGCAGCAGTAGTAGCAGCAGCAGTAGCAGCAGTAGCAGCAGCAGTAGCAGCAGTAGCAGCAGCAGTAGCAGCAGCAGCAGTAGTAGCAGCAGCAGTAGTACCAGCAGCAGCAGTAGCAGGCTCCTGGCCAAGAGGGCTTGTAAAGAGCCTGCGTTGATGGAGCACACAGCACTGTCTTGTCATGCACACGCGTGGCACACACACACACGTGACACACACACACACGTGACACACACACACGTGGCACACACACACGTGGCACACACACAGGTGACACACGCGTGGCACACACACACACACGCGTGACACACACACACGTGGCACACACACACAGGTGACACACACACAACAACAACAACAACCGCCATTCGCCACTAAGTGGCGGTGACGTCACCACGACGCTTGTGCCAGGCTATGTGCACCCTGAGGCCACGTGAAGTGTCGAACGCCCGCTGGCAGGAGGTCACGGGGCAGACCCAGGTGCCACGGGTCGACTGACTGAGATGACTGGCTGATGCACCACCTGTGCCCCCTACTGTGCACACACACACACACGTGACACACACACACACGTGACACACACACACACACGTGACACACACACTTGACACACACACACACACACGTGACACACACACACACACGTGACACACACACACGTGGCACACACACGCGTGACACACACACACGCGTGACACACACACACGTGACACACATACACACGTGACACACACACACGTGGCACACACACACACGTGGCACACACACACACGCGTGACACACACACACACGCGTGACACACACACACACACACGCGTGACACACACACACACGCGTGACACACACACGCGCGTGACACACACACACGCGCGTGACACACACACACACGCGCGTGACACACACACGCGCGTGACACACACACACGCGCGTGACACACACACACGCGCGTGACACACACACGCGCGTGACACACACGCGCGTGACACACACGCACACACACGCGCGTGACACACGCGCGTGACACACACGCGTGACACACACGCGCGTGACACACACACACGCGTGACACACACACACGTGACACACACACGCGTGCTCGGGCAGCGTGGAGCCTCCCCGCCCGTGCCACCGAGACTTGAGGACGTCTTTGTGTTTTCGTCTCGGCTGCGGAAGACTTTTAATTTTGGCCCGTCGGCTGCCTCGCTTAAAAGCGTCCTGGCGTTAGCCCGACACTTTCTTCACGGCCGTGCCAGCCGCTGGCTTTCGCGTTCAGAGAATTTGGGGTGGGGGAGCGGGGGGGTTATTGGCTGCCCCCCCCCCACGTCTCCCCCAGTGTCTCTTGAAATGGGGGGGTCGTAACTAACTCTCCTTTAGTGAGAATGATTTTGAAAACCGAGTTTGATTCCCTGCCCTCTGTTGCGCTTTCGCTGCTGCGTGTGTGTGTCGTGTGTGTGTGCCACGTGTGTGTGTGTGTCGTGTGTGTGTGTCGTGTGTGTGTCGTGTGTGTGTGTGTGCCACGCGTGTGTGTGTGTGTGTCGTGTGTGTGTGTGCCACGCGTGTGTGTGTGTGCCACGTGTGTGTGTGTGTGTGCCACGTGTGTGTGTGTGTGTGTGCCACGTGTGTGTGTGTGTGCCACGCGTGTGTGTGTGCCACGCGTGTGTGTGTGTGTGTGCCACGTGTGTGTGTGTGTGCCACGTGTGTGTGTGTCACGTGTGTATGTGTGTGTCGTGTGTGTGTGTGTGTCGTGTGTGTGTGTCGTGTGTGTGTGTGTGTGTCGTGTGTGTGTGTATGCCACTTGTGTGTGTGTGCCACGTGTGTGTGTGTGTGTGCCACGCGTGTGTGTGTGCCACGCGTGTGTGTGTGCCACGCGTGTGTGTGTGTGCCACGCGTATGTTTGTGTGTCGTGTGTGTGTCGTGTGTGTGTGTCGTGTGTGTGTGTGCCACGTGTGTGTGTGCCACGCGTGTGTGTGTGTGTGTGTCACGTGTGTGTGTGTGCCACGCGTGTGTGTGCCACGGGTGTGTGTGTCACGCGTGTGCCACGCGTGTGTGTGTGCTCGTCACGCGTGTGTGTGTCACGCGTGTGTGTGTGTGTGCCACGCGTGTGTGTGTGTGTGTGCCACGCGTGTGTGTGTGTGTGTGTCACGTGTGTGCGCCACGCGTGTGTGTCACGTGTGTGCGCCACGCGTGTGTGTGTGTGTGCGCCACGCGTGTGTGTGTGTGTGCCACGCGTGTGTGTGTGTGTGTGCCACGCGTGTGTGTGTGCCGTGCGTGTGTGTGCGCCACGCGTGTGTGTGTGTGTGTGCCACGCGTGTGTGTGTGTGTGTGTGCGCCACGCGTGTGTGTGTGTGTGCCACGCGTGTGTGTGCCACGCGTGTGTGTGCTACAGATCCAGCGACCCAAATTCGTACTCAGCGTCCCGAGTTCGATTCCCGCTCACGGCCAACACCAGTGACGAATATCCGAACCGGTCTTGGGCCTCCCCTAGGTCTACTTGGGGAGGCCCAGGACCAAATAAATCCACTACTTACCGATGATGATGATGATGATGATCCAAAGCAGGTGTGTGTCTGTGTGTGTCTCCGGAGAGCCCGGGCGCAGTGGTTACCGCGCTCCGCTACAAACCCGGACATCCGAGCTCAATCCCTGCTCACGGCCAACACCCACAGTGACGATAATCTGAACCGGTCTTGGACCCTCTCCGAGATCGATTCGGCCTCAAACGAGTACCCGGTGCGGTGTGCAAACCCCGCCACCGGGGAGACGAAGGAGGTCGGGCGTGGTGCTGGCCACCCACCCCCCTCGACTTTCGTAGGTGCTGCTACTCGCTGACGGCACTAGCCCCCGACAGTCGGATTAATGCTACGTGGGGGATCTTTGGTTTGTTAAAATGTGTTTTTTTTTTATTTTTCCCTCCCGCAGATCCAACCTGGCCTCGTTGTTCGGCGGGGTCGACGCGTCCGGCCAAGGCAACCCCTTCCAGTTCCACGCGCCGAAGCAACCGCGGAAGGGCCAGCCAGGCGCAGGTACCGTGCCGAGCGGCTGGAAACGCACGCACGTACGTCGCGGGCGGCAGCCAGATTGTGACGACGTAGGTCGGCTCACACACCCCCCCCCCCTTCCCCCTTCCGGCACCCCACACCGCCGCCCGTAGTGGCATTACCCCGGAGAAAAAAAAACCTAAAACAGTTTTTATTTTAGCAGGTAAAGGCCCCACTGTGAGCCGCTGTTCAGCTCTTTTTTTTTGGCCATCACAAATGATAGCTCAACAAAGTGGCTTGTCGTCGTCGTCACGTGGAGATGTATGGCAGGCCAATTTCTTGAAGCGTACGTCGAATCTAAATGTGGAGAGGAAAACGTGAGGACCGGGAGAAAAATCCACGCGATCACAGGGAGAGAGAGAGAGACACGCAAACTCCAAATATACAGCAGCAGGCGTCAGGGTCGGGATCAAACCCACGACCTCCTGAATACCAGGCGAGGTAGTTAACATCTCCTAGCCACCGTGATGATGACGTTGTTGATGGTGTTGTTGATGTTGACGTTGATGGTGTTGTTGATCTTTTTTCAGCAAAATCACAAAAGCCTGCCCCGGACATACCAGCTGTGATGTCTACGGCCGTGGTCCACACATACATGTAGTGAGTGTCACGTGTGATCCCCGCCCCCCACCCTCCCCGCTATTCTCGTACACGCATGTAAAATATGTAAAGGCGCAGCCCCTGCAATTGCTTTGCTCACGCCACTGCTGTCGGAAGAGGTGGGAGGTACCCACACTCGCCACACCGCGACCTGCCGTATGTACGTCCTTATGTTGAACTTCTTTCGCACCACCGTGCGTAGCCAATCATGCTGATCGAAGCTGCAGTGTTGAGTCTGTAGGTAGTGTTAGTCTCTGGGTAGTGTTGAGTCTATGGGCAGTGTTAGTCTGTGGGCAGTGTTAATCTATGGGTAGTGTTGAGTCTGTAGGTAGTGTTAGTCTCTGGGTAGTGTTAGTCTATGGGTAGTGTTAGTCTATGGGTAGTGTTAGTCTCTGGGTAGTGTTGAGTCTATGGGTAGTGTTAGTCTCTGGGTAGTGTTGAGTCTATGGGCAGTGTTAGTCTCTGGGTAGTGTTGAGTCTATGGGCAGTGTTAGTCTATGGGCAGTGTTGAGTCTATGGGCAGCGTTAGTCTATGGGCAGTATTGAGTCTATGGGCAGTGTTAGTCTATGGGTAGTGTTGAGTCTATGGGCAGTGTTAGTCTATGGGTAGTGTTGAGTCTATGGGCAGTGTTAGTCTATGGGCAGTGTTGAGTCTGGGCAGTGTTGAGTCTGTGGGCAGTGTTTAATCTGTTGGCAGTGTTGAGTCTATGGGCAGTGTTCAGTCTATGGGCAGTGTTGAGTCTATGGGCAGTGTTGAGTCTATGGGTAGTGTTGAGTCTATGGGTAGTGTTGAGAGTAGTGTATAGTAGTGTATAGTGTAGTGTATAGTAGTGTGTAGTGTAGCAGTTTATAGTGTAGTGTAGTAGTGTATAGTAGTGTATAGTGTAGTAGTGTATAGTGTAGTGTATAGTAGTGTATAGTGGTGTATAGTGTAGTGTATAGTGGTGTATAGTAGTTTATAGTGTAGTGTATAGTGTAGTGTATAGTAGTGTATAGTGTAGTAGTGTATAGTGTAGAAGTGTATAATGTAGTAGTATATAGTATAGTAGTGTATAGTAGTGTAGTGTATAGTAGTGTATAGTGTAGTAGTGTATAGTGTAGTAGTGTATAGTGTAGTAGTGTATAATGTAGTAGTGTATAATGTAGTAGTGTATAGTGTAGTAGTGTATAGTAGTGTAGTGTATAGTAGTGTATAGTGTAGTAGTGTATAGTAGTATATAGTGTAGTAGTGTATAGTATAGTAGTGTAGTAGGGAGGTGTGGACCGCCACCACTCAACACGCTGCTGCTGCTGCTGCCGCGACCCTCACCAGGACAAGCGGACTGAGTAGCGAACAAACGAACAAACCTTCATAATTGGCTGTGTCAGGTGGTGGCGGGTCTAACGACACATTGATATTCACGCGATCTGACCCACTAAAAAACCTTTGTCACGGGTATCACAAATCTCTTTGCTTCTCGAAACCCCCCCCCCCCCTCGCATTATTGACGGCGTTGCTACGGATATGGCTATGGCATTGACGGCTAATTCTAGATTTGAAGTGTTCGCGACTGCAAGGATCCATACTCTTTGGTTCTTTCGGTAAAGTTAGAAAAAATAAATTAAAAAAATGGAAATAAAATAAAACAGAAATGAAAACTACTGAATTAAATCACGACGTTTTGCGGAGGCAACACAAGCTTCCTTCATCAGGTGTAAAAAGCACAGCACAATTACTGCAGAGAGAGAGCTCTTTGTGATGAGAGATTAATTGTATAGGGTAAGACAGACACGGGCAAAGTACGGACCCCGGGCCGTGTACGGCCCGTTGGGATTTTTAATCTGGCCCGCCGAACTTGTACAAATATTATTATTCAATTAAATTAAATTTCACCTTTCTCCTGTAATGCCCCCGTTTCACCATTAGATGGCGCACTTTGACCGGGAGTTACGACACGTTTTTGTATTGGTCATGTTCGTGCAATTTGTTAAATTTCCTTGCAAATCAATGCTTTGCTACCCGTTAAAGGCCAAATCCTTTCATGTAATGATTTTTAACACGTCATTTGTATTAAGTTCACACAAACACTCCGTCCATCCGTTCCAGGCCCGGCCCCTCTGTCAAATTTTAGAACCCATTGTGGCTCGCGAGTCAAAAAAATTTGCCCACCCCTGGGGTAAGAAGAGGGGGGAGGAGGCAGGGAAGGATGGACACAGGGTGGGGGGGGGGGGGTGTTGGGAGCCAGGATGGTAAAGCTGCTCCTGCTATTGCTCCTGTACCACGGATGGGGATGAGGGGGGGCGGGGGCGGAGCGGGGGAGAGTGGCGGCTAAAGTTTAACATGGTTAATAACGTCTTTCCAATGATTGCTCAATTTGAATCCATCTTCTCGGTTGAAGTTGTGTCTATGTTTGTATATCTGTCTGGCTTCATGGACAAATCTTTGGTGACTTTACCGAAAGAACCAAGAAATAGTATGGACATTGACGGTGTTGAGTGTACTCTGTGTGTGTGTGCTCTCCCCAGTGTGAATGGGCAGTACGCAAGTCGTGGGAAACTCGGACTGGCATTGTTGGGCAGTCCCGAAGCCAAAGACGTGAGTAACGTCCAAGTTTCACGTTGATGCTGCGTTGCCACGAATCTCGTCTGCAAGAGCGCGTGAGCGAGTGTTGGGGGAGCGCGTGAAATAATGAGTGAGATGCTGGGTGGGTGAATGGGTAATTTATCGAGTGAGATGATGAGTGAGTGAGTTCAGGTTGATTTTGCATGACCCAGGTAAGAACTCAAGAGGCTAGGATAGGGGTCTTATTTGCAAGAGTCAGTGGGTGGGTGAATGAATGAAAGAATGAGTGAGATGGTGGGTGGGTGAGTGGGTGAGTGATCGAGTGAGATGATGAGTGACTGAGTTCAGGTTGATTTTCTGTGACCCAGGTGTGAAGCCACAAGACCCCGATAGGAGTCTTATTTGCAAGAGTGAGTGGGTGGGTGAAAGAGTGAAAGAATGAGTGAAATGGTGGGTGAGTGGGTGGGGTGAGTAATCGAGTGAGATGATGACTGAGTGAGTTCAGGTTGATTTTGCGTGACCCAGGTGTGAAGCCACAAGACCCCAATAGGAGTCTTATTTGCAAGAGTGAGTGGGTGGGTGAATGAGTGAAAGAATGAGTGAGATGGTGGGTGAGTGGGTGGGTGGGTGAGTGATCGAGTGAGATGATGACTGAGTGAGTTCAGGTTGATTTTGCGTGACCCAGGTAAGAACTCAAGAAACTAGGATAGGAGTCTAATTTGCAAGAGTGAGTTGGTGTGTGGGGGAATGAGTGAAAGACCGAGTGAGTGAAAGAATGAGTGAGTGAATGAGTGAGATGGTGGGTGTGCCGTGCCGGCCTTCATAGGCGCTTCTCGCTAACAGCACTTGCCCCGACAGTCCGTTGAGGCTACGCGGGGGGATCTTTACCTTTCGTTTTTGCAGTACAAGTTGCTGTTGTACGGGCAGCAGAGGAAAACTGTGACCAGCGCCAGGATCCACAGCTCCTTCGCATTCAGCGTAAGCCTTGCAAAAGCGTGAGTCGCGAAGCCTGGTGGCTTGCCATTGCCGTACCGAGCCGGAGCCAAACCGTGGCCCATGCAAGACATCTGAGTCTGGCTCGGGGGCCAAGCAGGGCCACGATCAGGACTCGCGATCGGTTCACCGCGTCGCCCACACGCGTCTCTGCTTCTTCACCACGTCACCCACACACGTGTCCGCTCATTCACCACGTCACCCACACACGTGTCCGCTCATTCACCACGTCACCCACACGCGTGTCCGCTCATTCACCACGTCACCCACACACGTGTCCACTCATTCACCATGTCACCCACACACGTGTCCACTCATTCACCACGTCACCCACACACGTGTCCGCTCATTCACCACGTCACCCACACACGTGTCCGCTCATTCACCACGTCACCCACACGCGTGTCCACTCATTCACCACGTCACCCACACACGTGTCCACTCATTCACCATGTCACCCACACACGTGTCCGCTCATTCACCACGTCACCCACACACGTGTCCGCTCATTCACCACGTCACCCACACACGTGTCCGCTCATTCACCACGTCACTCACACGCGTGTCTTCTCATTCACCACGTCACCCACACACGTGTCCACTCATTCACCACGTCACCCACACACGTGTCCGCTCATTCACCACGTCACCCACACGCGTGTCCACTCATTCACCACGTCACCCACACACGTGTCCGCTCATTCACCACGTCACCCACACACGTGTCTTCTCATTCACCACGTCACCCACACACGTGTCTTCTCATTCACCACATCACCCACACGCGTGTCCACTCATTCGCCACGTCACCCACACGCGTGTCTTCTCATTCACCACGTCACCCACACGCGTGTCTTCTCATTCACCGCGTCACCCACACGCGTGTCTTCTCATTCACCACGTCACCCACACGCGTATCTTCTCATTCACCACGTCACCCACACACGTGTCTTCTCATTCACCAAGTCACTCACACGCGTGTCTTCTCATTCACCACGTCACCCACACGCGTGTCCGCTCATTCACCACGTCACCCACACACGTGTCTTCTCATTCACCACGTCACCCACACACGTGTCCGCTCATTCACCACGTCACCCACACGCGTGTCTTCTCATTCACCACGTCACCCACACACGTGTCCGCTCATTCACCACGTCACCCACACACGTGTCCGCTCATTCACCACGTCACCCACACACGTGTCCGCTCATTCACCACGTCACCCACACGCGTGTCCGCTCATTCACCGCGCGTGTGCGACGTCATCGGCACGGCTCGGCTTTCTGCAGTGGAAAACGACCCCGGCTCCTCCTGAGCCGTGCCAGGGCTGGGCTGGTCCGGGCACGGCCCCGGCACGGCCCCGGCACGGCTCGCTTGCGGCAGTGGAAAACAACAAAAAAAAGAGTTACCGAGCTGAACCCAGCGCGGGAAATCCTTCTCTGCTGTGTTGCAGGTGCAGGCCAACAATTACGTCAGTTTTTACGACGACCAGCGCCAGAACTGGTCGATAATGTTCGACAACGAGCAAGTTGCGTCGGACTTCTCCACCCAGGTCTGTCGCCTCATCGCTCGCTGTGTGGGCGCGCGCTGCCTCTGCGTGTGCCGAACTTGTCGCTCGCTTTCATCGTCGTCGCTCGCGAAGGCGTTTTCAGGCAGCAGCAGTCGGAATCATCTGAACGGGCGACGTCGTTCCTAGACGTGAAGGGAAAAATGCGGAGGACCCAGAGAGAGTAATTCACGCGGCCACGGGGAGAGAGACGCCGCATACTCCGAATATGCAGCAGCAGCAGCAGGCGTCAGGGTCGGGATCGAGCCCACGACCTCTTGTACACCAGGCGAGGTAGTTAACATCTCCTAGCCACCGTGATGATGAGAGAGAGAGAGAGACACGCAAACTCTAAATATACAGCAGCATGCGTCAGGGTCGGGATCGAACCCACGACCTCCTGTACACCAGGCGAGGTAGTTAACATCTCCTAGCCACCGTGATGATGATGATGATGCTGAGAGAGAGAGACACGCAAACTCCAAATATACAGCAGCAGGCGTCAGGGTTGGGATCGAACCCACGACCTCCTGTACACCAGGCGAGGGAGTTAACATCTCTACACTGGGACACCGTAATATTATGGTGTTAATCCGATCAATGATTGAGTGCTCATACGCGTGAGGGGGGGGGGGGGGGGGGGGGGGGGGGGGCTTCGAATCGCAATGGGTCTCACCGCTGGTTAAATCACGGATTTAATGTATCTGTGGAATTTCAAGTAATAAGGGGAGAGGGGGTATCTGGTGGAGGTGAAGTGGGTTGCAGGCGAGATAGGAATTTATATTTATATACCTACAGACTTGCAGAGAGACCTATCTATCTACCAGTCGAGCGATCTGCAGAGCAGGTACACGCGTGGTGGTAGTTTGTACGTAAACATGTTGAACTTCTTTCCCGCTGTGCTCATTGGTGGTGCAGTGTTGAGTCTATGGGCAGTGTTAGTCTATGGGCAGTGTTGAGTCTATGGGCAGTGTTGAGTCTATGGGTAGTGTTGAGTCTATGGGCAGTGTTGAGTCTATGAGCAGTGTTAGTCTATGGGTAGTGTTGAGTCTATGGGCAGTGTTGAGTCTATGGGCAGTGTTGAGTCTATGGGCAGTGTTGAGTCTATGGGTAGTGTTGAGTCTATGGGTAGTGTTGAGTCTATGGGTAGTGTTGAGTCTATGGGCAATGTTGAGTCTATGAGCAGTGTTAGTCTATGGGTAGTGTTGAGTCTATGGGCAGTGTTGAGTCTATGGGCAGTGTTGAGTCTGTGGGCGGTGTTGAGTCTACAGGCAGTGTTGAGTCTGTGGGCAGTGTTGAGTCTATGGGCAGTGTTGAGTCTACGGGCAGTGTTGAGTCTATGGGCAGTGTTGAGTCTATGGGCAGTGTTGAGTCTATGGGCAGTGTTGAGTCTATGGGCAGTGTTGAGTCTATAGGCAGTGTTGAGTCTGTGGGCAGTGTTGAGTCTATGGGCAGTGTTGAGTCTATGGGCAGTGTTGAGTCTATGGGCAGTGTTGAGTCTATGGGCAGTGTTGAGTCTATGGGCAGTGTTGAGTCTATGGGCAGTGTTGAGTCTGTGTGTAGTGTTAGTCTATGGGCAGTGTTGAGTCTGTGGGTAGTGTTAGTCTATGGGCAGTGTTGAGTCTATGGGCAGTGTTGAGTCTGTGGGTAGTGTTAGTCTATGGGTAGTGTTAGTCTATGGGCAGTGTTGGGTCTATGGGTAGTGTGAGTCTATGGGCAGTGTTGAGTCTGTGTGCAGTGTTAGTCTATGGGCGGTGTGTATGTGTGTTGAACTTAGTAATATATGTATCCAACCGCGGTAATCGAGAGGTGCCGGTAAAGGGCAAAAAGCTAAACAAAGAAAGCAGTTATACCAGAAATGAGTTTGTCAATCTAGATGATGACGATTTAAAAGTGCATCTTAGCTTCCCATTGGCTTCCTGGTATCCGAAGGAAGAAGCGTTCCAGACGTCCGCTGCAGCGAATCTGGAAGCGCCGCGCGATGATGCGGTGACCTCGAGGTGGCAAAAAGTTGTGGCACGTCCCGACGTCGTGACGTTCACGCTCGTTGTTAGAACTTGCTGACCCGCCCCTACCGGGCATCTGTGAAAAAAATCCCTTAACAGCTTCATAGATTCCTCCTCCAGTCTAAATAAAGATTCTGATTCTGGCTGGGCACGAGCAAGTGAGCGGGCGAGCGAGTGAGCGAGCGGGCTTATGTTTAGTGGGGAGCGGTGGTGCAGCGGTTAGCGCTACGCTGCGCTACGAACCCGGCGACCCGAGTTCGATTCCCGTTCACGGCCAACACCGGTGACGATTATCTGAACCGGTCCTAGGCCTCCCCTAGCTCGACCCGGCCTCAAATAAGTACCTGGTGCGATGTGTAGTAAACATTGCCACTGGGGAGACAAAGGCGGCCGGGCGTGGTGCTGGCCACCCACCCCCTCGTGTGCCGTGCCGGCCTTCGTAGGTGCTGCTCGCTAACAGCACTTGCCCCAACAGTCTGTTTGAGGTTATACGGGGGATCTTTGTCTTTGTGGTTATGTTTACCACGGGGAGGAGCCCGTCGACCTGAGTTCGATTCACCGCTCACGGCCACCAACACCGGTGACGATTATCAGCGAATCGGTTCCTGGGTTTCCCCTAGGTCAGCTCGGACTCAAATGTGTACCCGGTGCGGTCCGTAGTAAACATCGCCACCAGAGGGTGGTGCTGTCCACCCACCCGCTCGCGTGGCGTTCCGGCCTTCGTAGGCGCTGCTGCTCGCAAACAGCGCCCCCTTGGCCCTGCGGTCTGTTAGACGGCTCTACGGGGCATCTTTGTCTTCGTTATTTGCAGGTGTGTTTAGCCAAGTGGCAGGCCACCCCCCGCGAGCAGCTCGGCAAAGCCCTGACCCAGGATTTGCGGCCCGGAGAGGGTCAGGGTGTGGAGGCGGGCGACAATCTGGAGGTGGAGTACACGGGCTGGATTCTGGAGCCGGGCGGAGCGCTGGGAGAGGTGACGCGCGCCACGCCCGTGATCACAGCAGACTTTTAAACTTTTGCGAATTCATTTGATTTTGTTTTACCCAGAAGCGGGGCCTGGCCATCGCAAATGATAGCTCGACCAAGTGGCTCATCGTCGTCGCCGGCACCGCGCGTAAACGTTGAACAGCAGCGAAATACTCTGAACACGCGGCGTTGGTTCTAAATGTGTGGAAGGAATAACCGGAGGACCCGGGGAAAAATCCACGTGGCCACGGGGAGAGAGAGAGAGAGACAAACTCCACATATGCAGCAGGCGTCAGGGTTGGGATCGAACCCACGACCTCCTTTATACCAGGCGAGGTAGTTCACATCTACCTCCACGTTTGGTTATCTGACCCGGGCAGTACGGCGATAACGCTTGTGACTCACGGCAACAAGGGTCCGTGTAAATGCGTCGGAAACCCTCCACCACCCGACACAATTAGTTACTAGTGTAGTGTGTGGTGTAGTGTATAGTAGCGTAGTGTATACTCGTGTATAGTGTAGTGTATAGTGTAGTTACTACTACTTCTTCAGCCCACCGGTGTGTTGGAGAGTAAATCCACGACGTTTCCAATGCGAGCAGTGTGACGTTTCGCTGGTCATTACATCCAGCATCATCGGCGATTTGCCAGAATGGTGAAGCAATCCACCTGCTTCCGGGTCTTAAATAGAGCAAGATGACATCATGACTGAACCCATCAGGGTCTGGGTTCGATTCCTGGTGTGAGTGTTTGAGAGAGTGGCTGGGTGCGCGTGGAAGTGAGTGCCCGCCGGGTTCGGGACTCCCGCTCACGGCTAACGCCAGTGACGATTATCTGAACCGGTCCTGGGCCTCCCCTAGGTCCGCTCTGCCTCAAATGAGTAGCTGGCACGTTGTGTAGTGAACGTCGCTGCTGGGGAGGAAAAGGCGGCAGGGCGTGGTGCTGGCCACCCGCCCCCTCTTGTGCCGCGCCAGCGCCCGTCGGTGCTGCTACTCGCTAACTGCGCTTGGCCCAACAGTTTGTTCAAGGCTACACGGGGGACCTTTGTCTGTGTCTGTCTGTGTGTGTGTGTGTGCAGGTGTTTGACAGTAACGTCGGGAAGGACAAAATGATGCGGCTGAAACTCGGGAAAGGAAAAGTGATTAAGGTAAAAAATGTAAAATGACTTTTTACTTTTAATAATGACGTGATAATAACTTCACCCGTTAATGAAAGCAAATTCTGTGCGGTATTTTGTGTGGGGCACCAGAAGGCCCTGAATAGGCCATGGGAAGCCAGAAGGCCCTGAATAACTTTTCAGATGACGTTTAAAATTTTAAAGAAAAATGACGAACGACGAACGGGTTCAATAATAACGAAGGTCAATTTGAACATTCGTTAAAGCAAAACGATAACCCTATGTTATTAAATAAATATTCCTGACGTCTGGGCCACTATCTAGCCTTTAACGTTACATATACTATAACGTTTCAAATCCTGTAACGTTACATATACTATAACGTTACAAATCCTGTAACGTTACATATACTATAACGTTACATACTACAGTCGACCCCGGCGTACCAACGCAACGTGCGTGGCCCATCTGTGTGGCGTCGCAGGGCTGGGAACAAGGCATGCTGGGAATGGGCAAGGGCGGCCGGCGGTTGCTGCTGGTGCCGGCCCCCCTGGGATACGGGGCCCAGGGCTTGCCCCCCCGAATCCCCGCCAACAGCTCCCTGGCGTTCCGCGTGGAGATCAAGCGAGTACGGAGCCAGCATCGACGCAGTCGCTCCCCCAACTAACCCGGCCCTCCTCCATCTCCACTAACCCAGCCCCCCATCCCCCCAAACCCAACCTCGCACCCCCCTATAGCACTCAGTCTTCATAGCTCTCCCTCTCATCTCACTCCACTCCATGCTCTCTCCTGCCTCTCCCCTCTCATCTCACTCCACTCTCCTCCACGCTCTCTCCTGCCTCTCCCCACTCTCATCTCACTCCACTCCCCTCCACACTCTCTCCTGCCTCTCCCCACTCTCCTGTCTCTCCCCTCTCACTCCACTCCCCTCCACGCTCTCTCCTGCCTCTCCCCACTCTCCTGTCTCTCCCCTCCCAGGTGAGGTTCGCCCGTGACGCCGGCGCCGCCGACCTCCGTGACTGCCACTCGCCGTCGCCGGCGCCCAGCCTGGGCGATGCGCCGCCCACCCTCACCGCCCCACAAACGCCACCCCCCCCCCCCGGGTAGGGAACACCACGGCGGTGGCGACGGTGACAGTGATGGGGTGACAGTGATGGGGTGACAGTGATGGGGCGCCGCGGAGTCTGTGGGTCTCTGTGTTAGTCGGTGGGTCTCTTTCTCTGTGTCTATAGGTCTCTGTGTGAGTCTGTGGGTCTCTGTGTGAGTCTGTGGGTGTCTTTGTGAGTCTGTGGGTGTCTGTGTGAGTCTGTGGGTGTCTGTGTAAGTCTGTGGGTCTCTGTGTGAGTTTATGGGTCTCTGTGTGAGTCTGTGGGCCTCTGTGTGAGTCTGTGGGTCTCTGTTTATATCTTTGGGTTTCTGTGTAAGTCTGTGGGTCTCTGTGTGAGTCTGTGGGTCTCTGTGTGAGACTGTGGGTCTCTATGTGAGTCTGTGGGTCTCTGTGTGAGTCTGTGGGTCTTGGTGTATGTCTATGGGTCTCTGTGTGAGTCTGTGGGTCTCTGTGTGTGTCTGTGGGTCTCTGAGTTTTTGGGTCTCTGTGTGTCTATGGGTCTCTGTGTGAGTATGTGGGTCTCCGTGTGAGTCTTTGGGTCTCTATGTGTGTCTATGGGTCTCTGTTTGAGTCTGTGGGTCTCTGGGTGAGTCTGTGGGTCTCTGTGTGAGTCCTTGGGTCTCTGTGTGAGTTTATGGGTATCTGTGTGTGTCTTTGGGTCTCTGTGTGAGTTTGTGGGTCTCTCTGTGTGTCTGTGGGTCTCTGTGTGTGCCTGTGGGTCTCTGTGTGAGTCTGTGGGTCTCTGCATGAGTCTGTGGGTCTCTGGGTGAGTCTGTGGGTCTCCGTGTGTGTCTTTGGGTCTATGTGTGAGTTTGTGGGTCTCTGTGTGTGTCTGTGGGTCTCTGTGTGTGTCTGTGGGTCTCTGTGTGTGTCTGTGGGTCTCTGTGTGAGTCTGTGGGTCTCTGTGTGAGTCTGTGGGTCTCTGTGTGAGTTTTTGGGTCTCTGTGTGAGTCTGTGGGTCTCTCTCTGTGTCTATAGGCCTCTGTGTGAGTCTGTGGGTCTCTGTGTGAGTCTGTGGGTCTCTGTGTGTCTGTGGGTCTCTCTCTGTGTGTGTGGGTCTCTGTGTGTGTCTGTGTCTCTGTGTGAGTCTGTGGGTCTCTTTATGAGTCTGTGGGTCTCTGTGTAAGTCTGTGGGTCTCTGTGTGTGTCTGTCTCTGTGTGAGTCTGTGGGTCTCTGTGTGAGTCTGTGTGAGTCTGTGGGTCTCTGTGTGTGTCTATGTGTGTTTGTGTGAGTCTGTGGGTCTCTGTGTGTGTCTATATGCCTCTGTGTGAGTCTGTGGGTCTCTGTGTGAGTCTGTGGGTCTCTGTGTGAGTCTGTGGGTCTCTGTGTGTGTCTGTGGGTCGCTGTGTGAGTTTGTGTCTCTGTGTGAGTCTATGCGTCCCTGTGTGAGTTTGTGTCTCTGTGTGAGTCTGTGGCTCTCTGTGTGAGTCTGTGGGTCTCTGTGTGAGTTTATGGGTCTCTGTGTGTGTCTGTGTATGTGTCTGTGGGTCTTTGTGTGAGTCTGTGCGTCTCTGTGTGTGTCTGTGGGTCTCTGTGTGAGTTTGTGCCTCTGTGTGAGTCTGTGGGTCTCTGTGTGAGTCTGTGGGTCTCTGTGTGTCTGTGTCTCTGTGTGAGTCTGTGGGTCTCTGTATGAGTCTGTGGATCTCTCTCTGTGTCTATGGGTCTCTGTGTGTCTCTGTGAGTCTCTGTGTGGCTGTGGGTCTTTCTCTGTGTATATGGGTCTCTGTGTAAGTCAATGTGCCTCTGTGTGAGTCTGTGAGTCTCTGTGTGAGTCTGTGGGTTTCTCTCTGTTGTTGTGGGTCTCTGTGTGAGTCTGTGTCTCTGTGTGAGTCTGTGGGTCTATGTGCGAGCCTGTGGGTCTCTGTGTGTGTCTATGTGTCTCTGTGTGAGTCTGTGGGTCTCTGTGTGAGTCTGTGTCTCTGTGTGAGTCTATGTGTCTCTGTGTGAGTCTGTGGGTCTCTGTGTGTTTCTGTGGGCCTCTCTCTGTGTCTATGGGTCTCTGTGTGAGTCTGTGGGGGGTGGAGCGGTGGGGGCGAGAGTTCACGGCGAGCGTGGCTGGAAGCGCGTGGTCTCCGTGTGTCGCCGCAGGTCGGACGAATCCGTCAAGTCCCGGTCGCACTCGCTCACGGAGCAGCTCACGGTGAGTGCGGTGAGGCCGCCCGCGCCCGCGCCCGGTCGTCTCGCCCGGTGGGTCCGGTGCTGCTGGCTCGTGGGGGGAGAGGAGGTCGCGTTGGGCTGGGTGTGAACTGGTGTGCACACAACATGGCCTGGGTAGGAGTCTCGTCTTGTGAGACTCCTACCCGGGCCATGTTGAATGGGTGGGTGTGTGAATGGGTGGGTGTGTGAATGGGTGGGTGGGTCAATGGTTGGGTGAGTGAGTAAATGGGTGGGTGGGTGAATGGTTGGGTGAGTGAGTGAATGGGTGGGTGGGTGAATGGTTGGGTGAGTGAGTGAATGGGTGGGTGGGTCAATGGTTGGGTGGGTAGATGAATGGGTGGGTGAATTTGTGGGCGGGTAAATGGGTGGGTGGGTGAGTGAATGGGGGGGTGGGTGAATGGGTGGGTGGGTGAATGGATGGGTGGGTGGGTGAGTGAATGGGTAGGTGGGTGGGTGGGTGAGTGGGTGGGTGAATGGGTAGGTAGGTGGGTAGGTGGGTGAGTGAGTGGTTGAGCTAGTGGGTGGGTGAGCTAGTGGGTGGTTGAGCTAGTGGGTGGGTCAGCTAGTGGGTGGGTGAACTAGTGAGTGAGACGAGTGAGATGAGTGAGGTTCTATTTGTTAAACCCGGGAGGGACCTGGAGAGGGCCAGGGTAGCCGTTAGGGGGCGGCGATCATGGCCGCCGCTGCTGCCGCTGCCGCTGCTGCCCGGTCGACGGGTGAAATCGCCGGGCAATTTCTGACCGTGCCAAATCTTTTGGAGCGCGCGTATCCGGCAGCACGACGGCCGGCTCTGCCAGCCCGCCCGCCCGCCGGCACGCCACCGATCCGGCGGACTGCGCCGGCACTTGCCCCCAACGGCTCCGCACGGGCTACATGGCGTGGTGGTGACCTTTGTCTTTGCCTGCGGGTGCAGAGTCAGCCGGACTCGGTGAGGGCGAAACTCATCTCACGGATGGCGCGCATGGGGCAACCGCTGCTGCCCATGGGCGGTGGCGCCACCCCGGCTCAGGGGGACACGAGCGACTCGGAGCACGAGGTGGAACTCACCTGTACACACACCTAGCCACTCACCTGTATACACACCTAGCCACTCACCTGTATACACACCTAGCTAATCACCTGTACACACACCTAGCCACTTACCTGTACACACACCTAGCCACTCACCTATACACACACCTAGCGACTCACCTGTACACACACCTAGTCACTTACCTGTACACACACCTAGTCACTCACCTGTACACACACCTAGCCACTCACCTGTACACACACCTGGCCACTCACCTGTATACACACCTAGTCACTCACCTGTATACACACCTAGCCACTCACCTGTATACACACCTAGCTACTTACCTGTACACACACCTAGCCACTCACCTGTACACACACCTAGCCACTCACCTGTACACACACCTAGTCACTTACCTGTACACACACCTAGCCACTCACCTGTATACACACCTAGCCACTCACCTGTATACACACCTAGCCACTCACCTGTACACACACCTAGCCACTCACCTGTACACACACCTAGTCACTTACCTGTACACACACCTAGCCACTCACCTGTATACACACCTAGCCACTCACCTGTATACACACCTAGCCACTCACCTGTACACACACCTAGCCACTCACCTGTATACACACCTAGCCACTCACCTGTACACACACCTAGCCACTCACCTGTATACCTGTGTGTGTCTGCGTGTCGGTCTCCCGTGGGTGGGACGAGACAGGATGGAGGCCTTTCCGTTGTCACTCCTGGTGGGGCTGAACTCACTCCCTCACCACAGCCACTCACCGGCCCCACCAGCACGGCCACCATGGCCGGTACTCACCACTCGCTACTCACCACTCGCTACTCACCACTCGCTACTCACCACTCGCTACTCACCACTCACTCGCTACTCACCACTCGCTACTCACCACTCGCTACTCACCACTCGCTACTCACCACTCACTCGCTACTCACCACTCACTCGCTACTCACCACTCGCTACTCACCACTCGCTACTCACCACTCGCTACTCACCAGTCAAGACTCACCACTCGCTACTCGCCACTCGCTACTCACCACTCGCTACTCACCACTCACTCGCTACTCACCACTCGCTACTCACCACTCGCTACTCACCACTCAGTACTCACCACTCGCTACTCACCACTCAGTACTCACCACTCGCTACTCACCACTCGCTACTCACCACTCGCTACTCACCACTCACTCGCTACTCACCACTCGCTACTCACCACTCACTCGCTACTCACCACTCGCTACTCACCACTCGCTACTCACCACTCGCTACTCACCACTCGCTACTCACCACTCGCTACTCACCACTCACTCGCTACTCACCACTCGCTACTCACCACTCGCTACTCACCACTCACTCGCTGCTTGCTCACAGCTCGCTACTCACTACTCACTACTCACCACTCACTACTCACCACTCACTACTCACCACTCACTCGCTACTCACCACTCACTAGCTACTCACTACTCACTACTCACCACTCGCTACTCACCACTCACTCGCTGCTTGTTCACAGCTCGCTACTCACCACTCACTCACCACTTGCTACTCACCACTCACTACTCACCAATCGTTACTCACCACTCACTCACCACTCACTCGCTACTCAACACTCGCTCCTCGCCACTTGCTACTCACCACTCACTACTCACCACTCGCTACTCACCACTCGCTACTCCCCACTCGCTACTCACCACTCACCACTCGCTACTCACCACTCACTACTCACCACTCACTCACCAATCGTTACTCACCACTCACTCCCCACTCGCTACTCACCACTCACTCACCACTCGCTACTCCCCACTCGCTACTCACCACTCACTCACCAATCGTTACTCACCACTCACTCCCCACTCGCTACTCACCACTCACTCACCACTCGCTACTCGCCACTCGCTGCTCACCACTCGCTACTCACCACTCACTCACCGCTCACCACTCGCTCACCACTCGCTCACCACTCGCTCACCACTCGCTCACCACTCACTCACCACTCGCTCACTACTCACTGCTTGCTCACCACTCGCTCAATACTCACTCACTACTCGCCACTCGCTCACTACTCACTCACTACTCACTCACTACTCACCACTTACTACTCACCACTAGCTCACTACTCTCACTGTTTGCTCACTACTCACTCACTACTCACCACTCATTCACTACTCACCACTCACTACTCACCACTCACTCACCACTCACTCACCACTCACTCACTACTCACCACTCACTCACCACTCACTCACTAGCTCACTGCTCACCACTCACTCACCACTCACTACTCACCACTCGCTCACCACTCACTCACTCACCACTCACTCACTACTCACCACTCACTCACCACTCACTCACCACTCACTCACCACTCACCACTCACTCACCACTCACTCACTAGCTCACTACTCACCACTCACTCACCACTCACTACTCACCACTCACTCACCACTCACTCACTACTCGCTACTCACCACTCACTCACCACTCACTACTCACCACTCACTCACTCACTCACCACTCACTCACCACTCACTCACCACTCACTCACTACTCACCACTCACTCACTACTCACCACTCACTCACCACTCACTCACTACTCACCACTCACTCACCACTCACCCACTACTCACTCACTACTCACTCACCACTCACTACTCACCACTACTCACTCACCACTCACTACTCACCACTACTCACTCACCACTACTCACTCACCACTCACTCACTACTCACCACTCACTACTCACTGCTCACCACTCACTCACCACTCACTACTCACCACTACTCACTCACCACTCACTACTCACCACTAGCTCACTACTCACTCACCACTCACTACTCACCACTCGCTCACCACTCACTCACTACTCACCACTCGCTCAACACTCACCACTCGCTCACTACTCACCACTCACTCACCACTCACTCACCACTCACTACTCACCACTCACTACTCACCATTCACTACTCACCACTCACTACTCACTCACCACTCACTCACCACTCACTCACCACTCACTACTCACCACTACTCACTCACCACTCACTACTCACCACTACTCACTCACCACTCACTACTCACTACTCACTCACCACTACTCACTCACCACTACTCACTCACCACTCACTACTCACCACTACTCACTCACCACTCACTACTCACCACTACTCACTCACCACTCACTACTCACCACTCACTCACTCACTCACCACTCACTACTCACCACTACTCACCACTCACTACTCACCACTACTCACTCACCACTACTCACTCACCACTACTCACTCACCACTCACTACTCACCACTCACTCACTCACCACTCACTCACTACTCGCTACTCACCACTCACTCACCACTCACTACTCACCACTCACTCACTCACTCACCACTACTCACCACTCACTACTCACCACTCACTCACTACTCACCACTCACTCACCACTCACTCACTACTCACTCACCACTACTCACTCACCACTACTCACCACTCACTACTCACCACTACTCACTCACCACTACTCACCACTCACTACTCACCACTACTCCGCCACCCTCAATGTGCCCTGCTGTTTCCCCAGCAGCACTTGCCCCCAGCGGCCTGCTCAGGCTTCATGGTGGGGACCTCTGTCCGCTGTGTGTCTGTCCGCTGTGTGTCTGTCCGCTGTGCGTCTGTCTGCTGCGTGTCTGTCCGCTGTGTGTCTGTCCGCTGTGTGTCTGTCCGCTGTGTGTCTGTCCGCTGTGTGTCTGTCCGCTGTGCGTCTGTCTGCTGCGTGTCTGTCCGCTGCGTGTCTGTCCGCTGCGTGTCTGTCCGCTGCGTGTCTGTCCGCTGTGTGTCTGCCCGCTGTGTGTCTGTCTGCTGTGTGTCTGTCCGCTGAGCGTCTGTCCGCTGTGTGTCTGTCCGCTGAGCGTCTGTCCGCTGTGCGTCTGTCCGCTGTGTGTCTGTCCGCTGTGTGTCTGTCCGCTGTGTGTCTGTCCGCTGTGCGTCTGTCCGCTGTCTGTGCGTCTGTCCGCTGAGCGTCTGTCTCACTCACTCACCACTCACTACTCACCACTCACTCACTCACTCACCACTCACTCACCACTCACTCACCACTCACTCACTACTCACTACTCACCACTCACTCACCACTCACTCACTACTCACCACTCACTCACCACTCACCCACTACTCACTCACTACTCACTCACCACTCACTACTCACCACTACTCACTCACCACTCACTACTCACCACTACTCACTCACCACTACTCACTCACCACTCACTCACTACTCACCACTCACTACTCACTACTCACTGCTCACCACTCTCTCACCACTCACTACTCACCACTACTCACTCACCACTCACTACTCACCACTAGCTCACTACTCACTCACCACTCACTACTCACCACTCGCTCACCACTCACTCACTGCTCACCACTCGCTCAACACTCACCACTCGCTCACTACTCACCACTCACTCACCACTCACTCACCACTCACTACTCACCACTCACTACTCACCACTCACTACTCACCACTCACTACTCACTCACCACTCACTCACCACTCACTCACCACTCACTACTCACCACTACTCACTCACCACTCACTACTCACCACTACTCACTCACCACTCACTACTCACTACTCACCACTACTCACTCACCACTACTCACTCACCACTCACTACTCACCACTACTCACTCACCACTCACTACTCACCACTACTCACTCACCACTCACTACTCACCACTCACTCACTCACTCACTACTCACCACTACTCACCACTCACTACTCACCACTACTCACTCACCACTACTCACTCACCACTACTCACTCACCACTCACTACTCACCACTCACTCACTCACCACTCACTCACTACTCGCTACTCACCACTCACTCACCACTCACTACTCACCACTCACTCACTCACTCACCACTACTCACCACTCACTACTCACCACTCACTCACTACTCACCACTCACTCACCACTCACTCACTACTCACTCACCACTACTCACTCACCACTACTCACCACTCACTACTCACCACTACTCACTCACCACTACTCACCACTCACTACTCACCACTACTCCGCCACCCTCAATGTGCCCTGCTGTTTCCCCAGCAGCACTTGCCCCCAGCGGGCTGCTCAGGCTTCATGGTGGGGACCTCTGTCCGCTGTGTGTCTGTCCGCTGTGTGTCTGTCCGCTGTGCGTCTGTCTGCTGCGTGTCTGTCCGCTGTGTGTCTGTCCGCTGTGTGTCTGTCCGCTGTGTGTCTGTCCGCTGTGTGTCTGTCCGCTGTGCGTCTGTCTGCTGCGTGTCTGTCCGCTGTGTGTCTGTCCGCTGCGTGTCTGTCCGCTGTGTGTCTGCCCGCTGTGTGTCTGTCCGCTGTGTGTCTGTCCGCTGAGCATCTGTCCGCTGTGTGTCTGTCCGCTGAGCGTCTGTCCGCTGAGCGTCTGTCCGCTGTGTGTCTGTCCGCTGTGTGTCTGTCCGCTGTGTGTCTGTCCGCTGTGTGTCTGTCCGCTGTGCGTCTGTCCGCTGTCTGTGCGTCTGTCCGCTGAGCGTCTGTCTCTGTGAACCTGCAGCTCCCGTGCCAGCGAAGCAACCGGTGCCCGCGTTCCGCACACTGGTGCAACTCCCCGCAGCACAGCAGCAGCACAACCAGCAGCACAACCAGCAGCACAACCAGCAGCACCAGCAGCACAACCAGCAGCGTCAACAGCACCACCAACAGCACCACCACCACCATCATCAGCAGCACCAGCAGGCACTGGCCTTGCCTGTTGCACAGCCCTACCAGGTGTCCCCACAGCCCTGCCCCCTACACACAGCCCTGCCCCTACACACACAGCCCTGCCCTTACACACACAGCTCTACCCCTACACACACAGCCTTGCCCCTACACACACACAGCCCTGCCCCTACACACACAGCCCTGCCCCTACACACACAGCCCTGCCCCTACACACACAGCCC